GGATTGGTTTCTTCAGCAGGGGAAGATGGCCTAATATTGGCAAACGCCGAGGAGGAATTGGTGGTAAATTTTTAATTTCTTGATGATTCCATTGATCAGTAGATATAGAAATGGTATGATCAAGAGCAGGGATGTAGAGGTTTCCATGGAAATCGAAATCATCGTTTAATGATGAAGAAACTCTTGCTCATTAGTGATTTGAGATTAGTGCATGGTTTAATTGGTATGAGTAATCCCTTCCCCAGGCCAGACGGAATCTATTTCATTTCCATTTGTCATTTAGTTCTTAGTTTAACTAATGGTAGAGTAATCCTTTCCCCGCAATATCATTCTTTTTTACCACTTGCCCATAAAATGAATGGATTCGGTAGCATAAGCATCCATCCATTTGTGAGAAATTATAGTACTCCCTCCGTTCTATAATTATTGTCCAGTTTGATTAAAATGAAAAATTTTATTTTTGGTCAAACTTAACAATATTTTGGCTCAAATAACCAGATATACCCCTGCATAAATGCCTATTTAACTCCATCTCCTGCAGATAGAATATGATGACGGAAATAGTTTTTGACATGTATTCCCCCAACTCCAGTTGCTCGTAAAACCATCGCCCACCACATTGTTTACATCAAATCCACCACCAACGACCTCCTCACTCTCGACCCACCATCGCCGCCCTCATCTCCTCCACCTCCTCCTCTGGTCGCCGCCACTGTTGCTCCCACTCCACCTCCCTGGTTCACCCTCTCCTCTCCACCTTCCTCAGATCTCAACCCGTTGAAATCTCCGCTGGTAAATAACGTTATCAACTCCTCGGAGCTCATTGTCGGACTCGGTTCCTCCACTCCTACTCCTCTTCCGCCGCTTTCAAAAGAAAATTCAAATCTAAATCTCCTCCTCCCGTACCCAGCCCCCGCATTCAATTGGACCCACCACCGGTCCCCTTCTCCTTCCCAGATGGATAAATATGAATCCATCTACCTGCCAAACGGGAAAAACAAGGTGGTAATCTACACCACCACGTTGAGGGGAATCTGGAAGACGTTCGAGGACTGCAACACCGTCCGGTCAGCGATTCAGGAGCTCGAGTTTTCAGTATGCGAAGAGGAGAAGAAATCATCCTCTTTATCGTCATCTAATTCTGAGAAAAGAAAATCATCTGAGAAATCTTTTTCGCCAGATCTGAGAAGCAAGGAGGAGGAAGTGGTGGCCGGCGGGGATATCACTGTCGTTAATGGCCATAAGGTCAAAATTTTGCTAAAGGGCCAATTAGTAACTTAATCCATAAAAAGTCAAATTGGACAATAATTTTGGGACAAAATTTTTTTGGTAAGGTGGACAATAATTATGGGACGGAGGGAGTAACTTGTTTGTTGTCAGATGTAGTGGTTGGGAATTGGGATGTCAAAGCTATGACTTTGTTTCTTATGGAAATTTGTTTTTTAAAAATAGAAAGGGAAAAAAAAAAGAAAAAAGAAAACAGTAGAACTGTAGAAGTAAGATTCCAATTTCAAATTATATTTATAATTTATCGTTCAATAAGGAGTTATAAAATTGGGCGAGATCAGAGTGATTGTAAGTTTGTAACCATACCATTACCATCTAAACTTACTATTTAGCCCGTGCGTTGCACTAGAAATATCCGACACGTATAAAATGTGTTCGGTAGAAAAATTAGGGATTTCTACTTATTAAATACTAACAAATTTTTATTCTGAAGTTTAACTATTAATAAACAGGATCAAGTTCGAAATTTGAAAAGGAAAAAAAATTAATAGAGTTTAACTACTAAGTCGTATGAAAAGAAAACAAAAATTTGAAAAGTTTTAAGTAATAAAATATTTACTAAATATTTTTAAATCATGAAATAGTAAGTAAAAGTTGAGATATTATAAAATGTGAAAAAAAGATTCAAAAATAAAGAAATAATCATCTATTAAAATTGAGATACATTAAAATGTGAAAAAGATTAAAAATTAAGAATTCAACACACTTTTTTTGGCACTGTCCATGATAAATTTTATAAATTATTTTCTAACTGACATAATTAAATTTCAGAATTTAAATATTTTAAGTATAAGTTGTGATTCATTTTTACAGTTTTATCCTTAAACCAATTAATCACAACCTTATTAATGTCTCAAATTTAAGTAATCCACAACAAATTATCGCAAACTATTAAAACTAAATCATGATTATTCTGTTACACAACTAATTTTGTCGTGGATAAATCATGATTACTCTACCATTGGTTTAAATTCATTTGATTATTCTGTTATACAATTAATTATATATGGGATTGTCATATTTGGGGTTAACTAACGTAAACATTGAAAAATTAATAAATAATTTTTAACTGTATATTTAGGCTGAGTTTTTAATTGCATGTCATGTACGCAAAAATCATTCTGTATTAATATATATATATATCTGTATGTATATATATACAATAAAACGTCGGTAAATTAATAACTTCTAACAATTAATAATTTTCTTCAGTCCCAAATTGGGACTAGTACAAAAAGTGAAAAAAAAAAATCGATAAAATAATAATGTTTCAGAAAATCTCTAACAAATTTATAGGCCCCAGCAATACTCCAAATTAATAAATACCCTGAAAGCCAAAAAATAATAATAATAACTATAAATATTTAGTAAAATATGAACTATTGATACTTGTTTTTAGTTCTCGGAGATGGTATGAACTATGTAGGAATTTTTAGTGTTAGAAGAGTTTTAATAATTGATTGATTCAGATCTAAAGACAATTGAAAATTAAGTAATTTTTAGAGAAGGTTTTTCTTTCTCATAGAAATTATTTAAATTTAAAATTAAGAGTTCTCTGAATTAAAAAATTTTGGTGGTCTCAACATTATTAATTTAAAGAAATTCTACTATAGTAGGTTCTTTTCCTTGTGTTGCACGGAATATGTTAAAATCTATTATTAAGACGATTATTGTTTGTGAAAAATACCACGTCCTTGAATAATGATTGATTTTGAAATAAAATTTAAAAGGAAACGGGTGATACTAAGAATAAGCCAACAGTAAAAGATAAGTTAAAAAATACAGGGTGAAAAGAAAGTGATATTAATATTATTATAATTTAAATTTCCCTGAATTTGAATATAGGAAAAATATTTTATTTTGGATATTTTTTTCGAAATTGTACCAGTGGAACTTCGACATTTTTTGAAAAAATTAAATTGACATTAGAGTGATTGAGTTTGAATATAAGAAGAATGTCTTATTTGATTCTTTTTAAGTAATTTCATTCGTGAAATTTTAATATTTTTTAAATGAGATGACATTAAAGTGATTGTGTTTGAATGCAAGAAAAAAAATCTTGAATATTTTTCTTAATTTTATCCGTAAAGTTTTAACAATTTTATTTTACCATATAAACAGCGTCGATTCTTTTCGTTTTGGCAATAAAATGTTAAATTAGAGTGTAATATATAATTAAAATTTCTCTTTGGCAATAGAATGAGTTGTTTCTATATGTATTTGTGATATAAACCTTTTATATATATACTATTAAAAAATTATTCAAAACAATGTAATTTTGACTTAATGTGTTTTTGAGAGAAAACTTTTAACCATTCTTTTTTAATAGAACAAGATTCTTAGACTGGACACGTCTATTATTATCGCAACATTCCTGCTCTTATTCTCTCTATCACAATTGTTTTAATAAGATTGACATTAGGTGATCGAGTTTGAATATAAAGAAATGTTTTATTGTAATTTTTTACGCAATTTTACGTGTAGAGTTTTAACGGTTTTTTTCTAAGTTCATTATTATCACAACATTTCACGACATTTCCACGTCCATTACACTCTCATGCGGTATTATCTGTAATATCGCATGAGAGTGTAACCCATTTTCAAAATTTATCTATCATAATCATTTTAATAAGAATTTTTTATGTTTTCAATAGGAGTTTTGTTGGTAAATTTAGTTAAATCTTATTTTTGTCAAAATTATTTCATTTTGACTTGATGTTTTAGGGGAGAAACTTTTAAGGAGAGCATGACGCATCATCTTTCATTATCTCTTGGACAATTATTTTAATAGTATAATAACATAAGTAGATGTTTCTGACGGGTGAATGTCCGGCCTCCCGTGGGTTAAATCGGTTCAATAATAAAATAAATATTTAGAAAAACTTTAAAAATTTATTATATATCCAAAAAAAAATTTTAAAAAAATCAAAAAATTTTCAGGAATTTTTTCTAACTTTTAACTTTTTGAAATCTTTTGAATTTGATACTAAAAATATATTAATTAGATTGAGTGATTCTTGGGACAAATAATTAGAGATTTTTTATATTAAAAGTGAAATTTTCTTACAAATCTACAAATGTGACTGTAATATATCAAAGACGTTAGATCAAATTTGCTTAGTTTAATTTTCATTGTTGAAGGTCATAACTCTATATTTTTGACAATTAAGTTTAAAATCACTCTGGCGCAAGAGCGGGGAAAGATTGATTGTGGAGCTGAAGAAACATTGATCTGTGTATAAGTTCCAAAGATCATTCCACTCATTACTAACTTAAATATTTTGACATAGATATAAATTAACAAAGACATTTATTTTGGGAGGGAAAGAGTAACTCTCATTGTTTTATTGTTATTATATATTATTATTATTATTTTGAAAACAGTGTTTCACTATTCTTTGTAATCATGAAACGTGCAATTCTTATCAAAACAGGGATTCAATAAACTCTTCGGGATTTTTTTGTGACAGGGAGGGAGCTGGCTGAAGTGAAGTGTGGTCCGTGTGGTTTGCGACAACTAATAACTCTAATCACTTCTCTGCTTTTTTAAACTGTTTAAGGATTAGACATTTAACTACAGAACTGTGATTCGCATAGTGTAATAACAGCCAATAGCTAGAGAGAATGATTTAGGCCACCACCATTGGAAGTTAAGCAGGGGAAGAATTCAGAGCTGCAGTACGTATTGTGTTAGACTTTGGGATTACTGCAAAATGGGATCAAAGACAAAAAGGAAGCAGAATCCATTCTTCTGCAATCTACTTTTGCAGCTTCTGCTCTTACAAACTTGTTCAAACTTTGCTAAGGCTGGTTCTATAGTTCAGTTTCTCCCAGGATTTGAAGGCCATCTGCCTTTTGAGCTAGAGACTGGGTGAGTGAGATGAAATTCCAGACAGTTTTGCTGATATATAGTGAACTGGTTTGTTTCAAGCTCAGAAGAGAAAAGGACTTGATTCTTTCTTCTTTGTGTGTGTGTGTGTGTGTGCGTGTGTGTGTGTAATGTTGCACTCATGCAGGTATATTGGGGTTGATGAATCAGAGGATGTGCAGCTTTTCTACTACTTTATCAAATCAGAATCCAATCCGGAAACGGACCCGCTCTTGCTCTGGTTAACTGGAGGCCCTGGTTGCAGTTCATTTTCTGGGCTGGCTTATGAGATTGGTAAGATTGATAATGCCCTTATGATCATTGCTTGATTTCTCTGCAGCGTGTTGGTCTTCAAATTTGCAGAAGTTGGAAAGCCTGAAAGCAAATCAGGAAGCTGTTAAATCAATGACTGAAACTGGCCTCTTAATTTCATGAAGTGCCATTCTGAGTCTCTGACCATATCATAAACTTGGGAATTCCGCAGGGCCAATAGTGTTTGAACAATTCCTCTATGATGGGACTTTGCCCAAGTTGATACTGAATCCATATTCTTGGACAAAGGTAATTTAAGTTCATCCCTTTTTTTAAGATTAATGTCAATATTTAAGGATGTAACTTGTGTGAGACTGAGAATACCGCGTCTTTTATTGTTAGGTTGCGAGCATTATCTTTGTGGATCAACCTTCAGGAACTGGATTTTCTTATGCCAGGACCGCCAAAGCTTCTCATTCTTCCGATCTACAAGTCAGTGATCAACTGTATGAATTCCTCGGGAAGGTACAGCAACTGAAGAAATGAAGGGTATTAGAAACTAGAGGGTGCCGTTCATATGAAAATCTTGACATTTTACTTAAAGCATTACTGCCATTATTTATGAAAGTGATATTGGCGTAATTAAGTATTGGTCCCTTTTCTAAAGGGATGTTAAGTACAGATCGGAAGTTACATTTTGATTGTTGATTTTCTGACAGTGGTTCATTGATCACCGCGAATTCATTTCAAATCCAGTCTATGTTGGTGGAGACTCTTACGCAGGCGTTATAGTTCCAGTAGTTTCTCAACTTATATTAAATGGTAAGAGCAGCCCTTTTTTCCTTCTTGTTCATACAGTTGTTACAAAACTTTTTAAAATTTTTTTACCCTTTTATAGTTTAATTAGTATTCAATGTTTGACATCTTCTTGTATTACTCCTTGAGTTTGAGCACAAATGATGATAATAGTGAAAACTGTAAGCAAAATAGAAATTGATCAACAGATGTAAGGACTCTTAAACTCACAGTTATGCTGTAAAATGCAGGAAATGAGGTTGGAATCGAACGAAAGATTGATTTCAAGGTTTGTATTCTTTCTTTTTAGTATCAGTCTGTAAGAACTTATACTGTCATTAGATGTCATGTAGTTCTTTTTGATGTTTCTAAGATGTCGTAGCCATCAACTGAACTCAGGGTTACTTGCTGGGAAACCCTTTGACGACTCCAGAAGATAGAAACTATCGAATCCCTTTCGCTCGTGCAATGGGGCTAATTTCTAATGAACTCTATCAGGTTTGAATGATCTTTCAGTAGCTCGACAATCATCAGTCGTTTGTGTAGGTACATTGTTCCGCTGATTTAAAATTTCTTGGTCATTTGCAGTCTTTGAAGGATAACTGCAAAGGACAATATCAAATAATAGATCCCGATAATGCACTCTGCTTACAATGCATGAAGACATACAATCAGGTTCAAGATCTACAGACCATTTTGCTCAACAGCTTTTTGTAGTGTTCTGTTGCAGCAAATAAGCCAATAGTGTGAAAATTTTCACTCTTTTTTTCTATTTTCCTTTCTCCTTTACAAAATGATAAGAAAATATTAGTGTTTCAGTTAATTAGTATGACTCGCAAAGCACATATCCTGGAGCCCTATTGCGGTCTAGATTTTCCAGAGGACCCAAATGGAAAATATGGCGAAAGAAGATCTCTTACAGAACTGTTTAGCACTCAGAAAATGGAAGGGCGTATTCCTATAACATGTCGGGTAAGATACCTGTATATACATATATCACCAAGTCACTCTAACTTAATGCTTTTCTTCTGTAATTGATGTGCTTTGTCCATGTTGATGATCACAATAGACGGATGAAATGTGGCTATCTTATTACTGGTCTAATGATGAGAGTGTCCGCGAGGCGCTCCAAATACGCAAGGTTATATCAACGTTAGCAGAAAAGATTTGTTTTTATTTCGACGCCAGATCATAATGATATACCTAAGACGTTACTAGTATTTCTTTGCAAATTGACATATCAGGGTACCATTGGTGAGTGGATACGATGTAACTCCAACATTTCTTACACAGAAAATTTGGTGAATGCTGTACCATACCATGCTAACATAAGTCGTAAAGGCTACCCATCTCTTATATACAGGTTGATCTCTTTAATGCATTCATTTTGTGTATGTGGTAGAGATGGTTTTAGTTTGTGTATCAAGCAGTACTGATAGTAACGTTTTTGCTATTTAGCGGAGACCATGATTTGCTTATACCTCATTTCGCGACTGAAGCGTGGATAAAATCTCTAAATTACCAAATTGTCAATGATTGGAGGCAATGGATTGTTGGCGGTCAAGTTGCCGGGTATAGTTGAATATAAACAGTTTCTTGTTTCTACAATTGCTTGCATGAAGAATCTAGGAAGGGAATAATTGACATAAAGCTCTACATATCGCAGTTACACAAGAACTTATGCTAATAAGATGACTTTTGCTACAGTAAAGGCAAGAAATTCATCCTTTTTCTCTTGGATTCAAGGCTGGATTTTACATTACAGATGGAAAAATTCTGGAGTTAACTTCCAATTTTATGTTTGTATATATATTCAACAGGGAGGGGGTCATACTGCTCCACAGTACAAGCCTGAACAATGTCAAGCAATGTTCAAAAGATGGATATCTAATCAACCTCTATAATTAATCAGGGTGCAAATGTACACCAGACATTTCTCATTCTTCAACTGCAAGATCCCTATATGTTAAGTAGAAGAGCTACCAAAGCAATAAGAGTAAAAATAATGAATAGAACCTAGTTTAAAACTCATCATTTTCCTTGTATCTGGGCTCTTTGCAGAATATCTTTGGATGAACTATCCCAAGGACATTCCTTTATTGATACTGTAATCCATCTGAAATCAATTCAATACAAACTACAGCATACGAATGATAGAATCATATGTTTTCCTTTAATTTCAGCAAGTTCATGGTGAGGTTCTAGTTTGAGTGTGGTTTTGTTGTTCTTGTAGAATCGCAGGTTACAAGGTGCAGCTGAAAGTACTTTAGGAGTAACTTCATTTCATGGTTATACATTTTATGTTGCAAGAAAATGTGGGTAAAGAATTAGGGAGAAATTTATAACTTTGTCGACTTTATTCGAACCTGTGCTCTCTCTTGATCAACATACGAAGTCGGCAAAGTCTAAAAGTATAATGTACTCCTCCCTCCCAGTGAGAAAACGAAACATAATCCACTCTATTGTAGTAATATTTGATTGTAATCAGAAGATTCAAATCAATGTCCTCGTACCTCCAATTCAGAATTTTGCTGATGAATGATCAAATTGAATCTAGAACGTTGGTTTGGATATGATGCTCCGCAGCTGAATCATGTGGCATTCAATATATAATTAATTATCAAATCAGTTTTCAAAAGAAAAAAAACGACCAACTTCTGTTTCTTTGGAGAAAATAAGGACCAAAACAAATGAGACTGTGACATACAACGTAATAAGTGGCTTCTCTTCTTGTTTCCAAACCCAGAAGAACCCATTTCTGACTTTCAATTTTTACCAAAAATGGCTACAAAGCTATGGTTAGCTCATTTCATTTCGAGTTTGTTCCGGTGGCGGGTTCAACCATTGAGTTTCTTTCAGGATTTGAAGGGCCGCTTCCTTTTGAACTTGAGACCAGGTGACCGGTGGAGTTCTTTTCTTCAAGTTTATCCTTTTTATGGAGATGATATTTCATCATCCATGATCTTCTTGTTATGGCAAAAAATTACATAGGTGTTTGGGAATCAGATGAAGTGTACTTTGTAAAATCTGAATCGAATCCCCAAGTTGATCCTCTTATTCTTTGCATAAATGGAGGACCTGTTGCTCTTCCTTAACTGCATTAGGCTTTGCATTTGGTAACCCAGAATTCTTTTTAACCATTTGAAAAACTGAAAATTGACAGCTCTTCTTTCTTGGATGTTTTGCACACATATTGGGCCGGCCGCCGGCCAATGGTTCATTCCCTCCGTCCCAAAATGATTCCATGGAATGATAAGTGTTGGAGAGGTCAGTTACCAATTTAGATATCGTGATGTATCTTGCAGTTTATGTTTGATTGGCGCGAGTTCATCTCTAATACTGTATATGTTAACTGCTTTCTATTGCTCCCAGATACCGATGTGGGACAATTAACCTACTCATGACCTCAACATTTATTGTCCCAGTTGTTGCTGAATTGATAGCTGAGCCTGAGGGTAAAAAACCTTCCACACCTTGTGTACACGCATATGTAGGAAGAAACGATTTTGGGGTTAATTAATGATATCAATTTCTAGTTGTAATCTGACAGTTATCATATGCAGATACACTGAATGGGAGTATGTAGCAATCTAAGCTCTTTCATCTGCATGAATTGGAAAAGGAATCCGAGACACATATCGATCTTAATGTTAGTTCTGTAGCTGTTATATATTTACTCTCTAATAGTGTAAGTGTCTAATATGCACTCATTTGGCTCACTGTTTCAGGCTGTGTTTCATTAGTTTGGCAACTAATTAACTTGCTTCTCATGTTCCTCAAAAGTCAAGGAAATTATCAGGACATAGACCCAAAAAAATGTACCATGCCTTGATGATATGAACACCATTAATCAAGCTAGTACCCATTAGTGAAGATAATCAACTCATCAGTGATCTGCCATTAGTACATAGTTTGATTGATAATGAGTAGTTAATCCCTTCCCCAGAAGGAATCTTTTTTACCACTTTCCTATTTGTGATTAGTACATAGTTTAACTAATGGTATAGTAATCACTTCCCCCCAGAAGGACCATGTGAGAAATTATGAAGTAAAATCTTTGTATGTATTCTGTCTGATTTTGTTTAGTTGTTTGTTAGTCGGATGTAGTGGTCTGGATGTCAATTCTGTAGTTCCTATGACTTTTTCTTATGGATTTTTTTTAAAAAAAAAAAAAAAGAAAACAGAAAACAAAAAGAGTAAGATTCCAAATTTAATCACAATTTATTGTTCAATAAGGAGAAATAATTTTTTTTTCTCAAGTTGCAAGTTTTCTTAAGTTCGATTACTTGTATTTTTTTTTTCATTTTTTTATATTTTGATAGGGAAGGAGTTGGCTGAAATTAAGTGTGCCCCTTGTGGTTTGCGTGACTAACAACTCTTATTTGTTTTTTAAGAATTAGACATTACTCCCTCCGTCCCATAATTATTGTTCAGTTTGAGTTTTCATTTCTAGTTCAAATTGTACTAAAACTGAAATCTCAAACTGGACAATAATTTTGGGACAGTGGGAGTACATTATTTTGATTCACAATAACAAGCAATAGCTGGAGAGAATGATTTAGGCCAGAATTAGAAGACAAGTAGTGGAAGAATTCAGAGCTGCAGTGTTGTGTTGACTTTGAGCTTTCTGTAAAAAAAAAAAATGAGATCAAAAAGGAAGCTGAATCCATTCTTCTGCAATCTGCTTTTGCAGTTTCTGCTCTTACAAACTTGTTCAAAAGTTGCCAATGCTGGTTCTATAGTTAAGTTTCTCCCAGGATTTGAAGGGCCTCTGCCTTTTGAGCTAGAAACTGGGTGAGTGAGCTGAAATTTCAAACAGTTTTTGCTGATATATAGTGAACTCGGTTGGCCTCAAGCTGAGGAAGAGAAAAGAATTTGATCTTTGCTTTTTTGTGTTCTTTTGAATGTTGCACTCATCATGCAGGTATATTGGGGTTGATGAATCAGAGGATGTGCAGTTCTTCTATCACTTCGTCAAGTCAGAATCGAATCCTGAAACCGACCCGCTTCTGCTTTGGTTAACTGGAGGCCCTGGTTGCAGCTCATTTTCTGGGCTGGTTTATGAGATTGGTAAGATTGATTACTGTTAACGGTTACCTATTGTTTCAATCTCGACGATTTCTTGCTTTCCGTGTTGATGGGATCATTGGGTTTTTTGTAAATTTTTCAGTACATTTGTTGGTCTCTGCATTTGCAAAAGCTTAAAATCTTGATAGGGTCTCAGTAGCACTGACAACATCATGAACGCAACTGCCTTTAGTTATGAATTGTCTACATGAACAAGTAACAAACTTGGGAATTTTTGCAGGGCCAATTAAGTTTGAGCCATTCCTGTATGATGGGAGTTTGCCCAAGTTGATGATAAATCCTTATTCTTGGACAAAGGTAATTTCAGTTGTTTTCTTCCCTTGGACTAACATCAGCTTTTAAGGATTTGAGTTGCACAAGATTCAAAATGACGGCGGTTCTTATTTGTTACTAGCTAGCAAGCATCATCTTTGTAGATCAACCTGTAGGAACTGGATTTTCTTATGCCAGGACGCCCAAATCTTCTCATTCTTCCGATCTACAAGTCAGTGATCAATTGTATGAATTCCTAAGGAAGGTAAATGTCACAGAGACACAGAAAAAATTGAAGGGTGTTAGATTGGCATAATAACTATTGACAGCCCCTTTTCTAAAGGGATGTTATCAAGTTTGCACTTGTGGTTTTCTTCTTAAAAAATGTACAGCGAAAACGAAATTTTTCACTTTCTCCAGGAAAATGGTTAGATCAAAAGTTATATTTTGATTGTTGAATTGACAGTGGCTAGTTGATCACCGTGAATTCATTCGAAATCCAGTCTATGTTGGCGGGGACTCTTACGCAGGCCTTATAGTTCCAGTAGTTTCTCAACTTATATTAAATGGTATGACTTCCCCTATCCCCTTTTCCTTTTTCCTTTTTGTGCATACAGTTGTTACAAAAAAAAAGTTTGTATTTTTTTTTTCTCTTTCATAGTTTTATTAGTATGCAATGGTTGACATCTTTCTTGTATTACTCCTTGAGTTGAGCACAAACGATGGTAATAGTGAAAAGTGTAAGCAAAATAGATGTAGATTAACAGATGTGAGGACTCTTAAACTCACAGTTATTGTGTGAAATGCAGGAAATGAGGCTGGAAACGAACCAAAGATTGATTTCAAGGTTCTTAGCTTTTTGTTTCTGAACCCTCTTTCTTTTTAGTATCAGTCTGCAAGCGCTTATATTGTCATCAGATATAGTGTAGCTCTTTTATATGTTTCTAAGATGTCGTTGACATCAAATGAATTCAGGGTTACTTGGTGGGAAACGCTTGGACGACTCCAGATGATAGAAACTATCAAATCCCTTTTGCTCGTGCAATGGGGCTAATTTCTGATGAACTCTACCAGGTTCGGATGACCTTTCAGTAGCATAACAATCCTCAGTCTTTTGTGTAGGTAAATTGTTACACTAATAGGAAGTTTCTCGGTCATTTGCAGTCTTTGAAGGATAACTGCGAAGGAGAATATCATAGAATAGATCCTGGTAATGCACTCTGCTTACAAAACATGAAGACATACAATCAGGTTCAAGAGCTACAGACCTTCTTTACAGCTTTTATCCCATGAAGAAATCTTTTTTTTTTCTATTGTCTATTCCCTTTTTCTTTCCCTTCCCAAAAGAAAATATGAGTGTTTCTGCAGTTGATAAGTACAATTTATAAAGCACAAGTCCTGGAGCCCTATTGCGGTTTAGATTTTCCAGAGACACCTAACAAAAAATATGGCGAAAGAAGATCCATTACAGAAATGTTTAGTACTCAGAAAATGGGAGGGCGTATTCCCATAACATGTCGGGTAAGATACATGTATATGTGTCATCAAGTCACTTTAACTGAATGCTTTTCTTTTCTAATTGATGTGTTTGTCCATGTTGATGATCACATTAGATGGATGGTATGAGGGTATCTTATTACTGGTCTAATGATGAGAGTGTCCGTGAGGCGCTCCATATACGCAAGGTTATCTTAATGTTATCAGAAAAGATTTGTTTTTATTTCGACGCCAGATCCTAATGATATATCTAACATGTTACCAGTATTTCTTTGCAAATTTACATATCAGGGTACCATTGGTGAGTGGATACGATGTAACCGCAACATTTCATATACAAGAAATTTGTTGAATGCTGTACCATACCATGCTAACATCACTCATAAAGGTCATCGATCTCTTATATACAGGTTGATCTCTTCTATGCATTCATTTAGTCTGTCGTAGAGTTGGCTTTGTTGCGTGGATCGAGTCGTTCTAACAGTAACATATTTGCTATTCAGCGGAGACCATGATTTAGTTATACCTCATTTTGCGACTGAAGCGTGGATAAAATCTCTAAATTACCAAATAGTTAATGATTGGAGGCAATGGATTGTTGGCGGTCAAGTTGCCGGGTATAGTTGAATATAAAGTTTCTTGTTTCTACCGTTACTTGCATGAAGACTCTTGGAATTACTAATTGACATAAACTTATGCATAATGCAGTTATACAAGAACTTATGCTAATAAGATGACTTATGCAACAGTTAAGGCAAGAATTTCCATCCTTTTTTCCCCTTGGCCAAGGACGGATTATCATTGCGATGGAAAAATTATAGGGACTAACTTCCCATCTTATGTTTGTATATATATTCGACAGGGAGGGGGTCATACTGCTCCAGAGTTCAAGCCTGAAGAATGTCAGGCCATGTTCAAAAGATGGATATCTAATGAACCTCTATAATTTAATTAGTTGGCTGATATTCCAATAGACTTCTTTTCTCATTCTTTGACGAAACATGAATTTGCACCGATGCCTCCAGATGATTGAACCGGCGGCTATGGCAATATCAAAATCCTAAAACTTGCAAAATAGAGCCTCGGGGTCTCCCGATGGTAGACACTCCGATACTTAAGTCAGTAAAAGTAATTGTAATAGGGGTATGAATTGTGGTGCGTAGAACGTACCTTTGATGTGAGGGGTTGATCCCTATTTATAGAGTTAGGGTGACTTATTTGTGAAACTCTTTTCTTACTAGGAAAGTAATTGGCAACTGCCCTAGAAACTTCTAGGGGCCGGTTGGACCGCTCACCAAATTTGAGCCGGCCTAGTCGCGGGTCGTACTATTTGGACTCGTCATTCTTCAATCGCAAGATCCCAATATGTTTAGTAGAAGAATTACCAAAGCATTACGAGTAAATAATGAATAGAACTTAATGAAAATACATCATTTTCCCTATATCGGTAGTGGTCGAATGACAGTTCTTTGTTGATACTGTAATCTATTTGTATGAAATTTCTGAACTACATTTAATACTACAGTATATACTAAGGATCGGAGGATATTTCTTTGGTTGATGTTGTATTTGGACCTTATATCCAATTCCTTTATCATTTTAGTATAATATGCTTTCCTTTAATTTTCAGCATTTTCGTGGTGAGGTTCTAGTTTTGAGTGGTTTCTGTTGGACCCCAAAATGAATTTGGGTATTTTTGATATGTCGATTTGGTCGTCGACCAAAGAGGCGTGGTTCCTTAATATTAGTGTTCGAATCGGAGAAGGATTAATAATTGTAATCTCTTTTGGTTTGCTTTTTATAGTTTAGAGATCATCTTTGGAGCTAATTTTATCCTCAACAATGTTTGGATTAATTTTTAGACGGCTTGCGAATGATCAAATTCACATTCGGATTGGAATTACTTTTGCTAAAAAGGAGTTGACTTCATTGGCAATTTATTTATGTGTAGTTGATTACAATTTCTGGTGACTTCACTTGGTGGATGGAGTTTGCTTGCTATTTCTACGCACCACAATTCATACCCCTATTACAAGTTAATAAAAAAAAGAAGTAAATGGAATATGACTACACTACTTCATCCAAATTCCTATTTTAATGGAGCAAGTATTTCGGCCAAGGAAACAATTAGCAGCAGCCGGATTATTTTGCTCTATTTAAGCAAGGCAGCCGAGACATCAAGGAGAACAACCTCAATTCATCATCATCAATATCATTCGTTTTTCTTTATTTTTCGTCTTTTTTTTCATGTATTTTTATCATGTTTTTTTAGTGTAGCCTAGCTTAAATAGTTTTTGGCCTATTTTTCTTCATAGAAATAGGTAGTCGTTCATCATTTTCTACTTCAGTAAATTTGATTCTTCTTGTAATAGCGCATTATCGACGTTCTCTCTATCTAGTCGGTGCTACATATCTCTCTTTTTCTCCATTTTAATGGATTGACGGCGACCATCTTTTGGCTTGTCTCACTCTTTCTCTATATCTTTTTCTTATTAATATTAAACCAAAATTAACCCTAAGTCCTCGATTCTAAGTCTGAGGCCGGTTTTAGAACACATCCACAATCGCTTGGTTTTGTATGTTTTAGGAGATTTTCATCCCTTCTTTCTCACGCTTTAGGGTGATTTTTTCGGGACAAACAGTTTCGTAGTTCTTGTAGAATCTCATGTTAGGTTCATTTGAAATTACTTTTAGAGAGCTTCTCTCTCCTTCGAAGAGAGACGAAAAATTCCAAAACAGAAACATACCAAAATTGGCTTGAAATTCCAGCAAATTCTCGATCTAATTTCGCCCAATTTCCTTTTGTTTAAAGCTGAAAATTTTGCTTTAATCACCTAAAACTCTTACGCAGAAACCCAATTTCAAGAATCTCTCCAACACCTCTTGGTCCTTGCGCACCGATCTTTGGCTCAAATCGAGAAGCAGCAACAATTAAGCATTGATTGAGACTTCTGAGCTATTTATGATCGTGAATTCAGAGAGAGAGTTAGGTCTTTTATCACAACTTTACATAATTTCTTCCTATGATCAGTATTCTATTTGCAATTACGGTTTACAGGTAATCTCGATTCTTTTGTCTGGTTCGACTGAGATTTGTTGGAGGTTTAATCAAGTAAATTCAGTTGTTGTAATTGTTAAGTGTCGATAGTTTTTATGTCTGGATTTGTGTTCTTGAATATAATTGTACGTTTGCTGGGTTGTTACATACTGTGATCTATTTGTGAATTGGCTTCATGGAATATAGAAAACGGTTTGATTAGTTCCATCCTTAAGTATGGAACCCTTTTGTTTGATTGGTCGTCTGTTGGATGACCAGAATTTTGGTCGAGCGAAAAATACAGAATTTTGTGTGGGAAAACTTCTGTCCTTGTTGCTCGTAAAGAGAAGAAATTCTTTGTCTTCCACTTCATTAGAAAAAGAGCACCTCTTGACCATTCTTCATAATGGCCCATATACTATTGATGGGGCGTTGTTGGTTCTGTATAGATGGGATCCATGCTTGCCTCTTAAGAACCTCCGTATTGAAAGAATTTTACTTTGGGTTTGATTTTATGGTGTCCCTGTCGATCTATTGGAAAAATTAGCAGCTATGGATTTAGCAATAAGGGTGGAAGAGCCAGTGCAAGTTGGAGGTCTTGATGTACAAAAATGCCGAACAAGTTGTGTAAGAGTGTGTGTATGGATAAAGCCCTTCCAGTCTCTGGTTTCTGGTTTTTATTATGAATTAGTGAATGGAGATTTGGTCTGGGTTGAGTGCTCCTATGAAGGTGTTTTCAAAATCTGTTGTAGATGCTCTAGAATTTGGGCACCCAGTCTCTAGGTGTAAAACCCGTGCTCCAATAAAGGGGAAATTAAAGATTTCTCCTAAATACAAAATATACAGCAATCGTGATGTTACAGAGATCAAGGTCTTAAATGGATTTAAGCTTAACAAAGAGATAGAGAACACTCTCTTTGAAGATAGCAAAAAGACCATTCAATTATACAATGGTTAGGAACAACAAACTCCCCAGGGAAGCAAATTGCATGCATTAAGAAGAGGAAGACAGAGATAGAATTTTCTTATGACTATTCACAGAGAGATGACAAGAACCACATGGCACACAACAAAAGGAGACTTATAAAAGAAAAAAGCTCGGCATATTCGATACTATCACGGATTACATGATAAAAGAAGTCCAACGCATAAAGGAGGTTGTTTTGCAGTTAAGGAAAAGGAAACGGAGCTTCGAAGGGTGCACCTCTAGTAAAAAACTGAGGGGTTTAGACAGAGTGGAGGGCTTACATATAATTGACAAAACATATCCGTCTCGTCATGAAAAGATGAGACAGAAGAAGACACGCTTACAAGAAAGTGTAGTTCAGAATCCCAAGAGGCAGAGAATTAACAGTGATACGCATCTTGGGATCTTGTCTCAGTACATACTGGAAATTTTATCAAGGAAAAGGAACAGGGACTACTATATGGAGTTAGAAGTACTAAAAAGGAACAAGAAAAAGCAGAAAAGAGAAGCAGCAGCATACTTGGTTGCCAGTCGATGTCTAACAGCGCCAATCATACTCCGGGAACCGGCATTGCAGATGAAGAAGACAGCTGATACCCTGTAAGGCGGTGAATAGGAAGCGAGTGTGGGAGATTATAGACGTCAGAAGCTCTGAGGGGTCCGAATCCAGTGTTAATAATTTTTCAAACAAAGCAAAGAAGGAGGCTGAACTACCGGAGTTAAAAGGAAAATTTAGCAAGGATGTGGATGGGCTAGTTGCTCTCCTGGGAAATGCAATGGAAGAGAGGCGGCAGGCAACAGCAAATGCAGCAAATGCTTCTCAGTCTCATCAGATTCAGACAGCTTGGAGTAAGATGAAGCAGTTGGTGGTTTTGCGGTAGTTGAACCAATCAACCACCCCGGGAGCCATGAGAGTCCTTTCGTGGAATTGCAGGGACTTCAACCGGTCGCCTGCTCTACAACATATCAGGCATCTTCTAATTTTCCATAAGCCTGATATTTTCTTTTTGCAAGAAACTAAAGTTATGTTTCATGTTTTCAAAAAATGGATGGATAGGTCTTGTTTTAGTAGTATAGAGGTAGTTGAACCGGATCACCTGGCTGGAGGTTTAGCTCTCTTTTGGAACAATAGTGTTAATGTAGAAGTTCTTAGCAAGTCAATTAATGTAATCACAGCCAGGGTAGCTGACTTGTCTGGATTTCAAATGGGTTTCCTTTTTGTGTATGGACATCTGGAACAAGCGCAAAGAAGTGTAGTTTGGAGTAATATTAGATCTTTGGTTATGTAGTATGATCCACCCTGGATTTTGTTAGGAGATTTGAATCAAGTACTAGAACAGGTAGATAAGAGGGGTGGTCTCAAGGTGAAGGAGCAGCAAACAAAAGATTTGAGAGACCTCTTAGAAACCTTGGATATGGTTGAATTTCCTTTTCAGAGTAACAGGTTTACCTGGTCTAACAATCGGAAAGGAAAAGATAGCATTCTAAAACGTCTAGACATGGTTTTTGCAAGTCAAGTGTGGCTACAACGTTACCCACAGGCCTATGTACTAAGCCTACCGATATATCAGGCCATGGCCCCTTTGTGTTACATACAATACAGGAAATGATGACAAGGGCGAGCAAGCCTTTGAGATTTGAGTCTTTTTGGTTGAAATGCACGGTGGTACAAGAGATTGTATAGAAAGTTTGGTAGCTACGTAGAGGCTTTGAAGGTGATGTTGATTCGGGACAGCTATCACTAAATTTACAAACTACATTGTAACATCTTACAAACTGGAGCAAGCAATCCTTTGGAGCCCTTGATGGGAGGATCAGAAAGAGCTTCACAACCCTGCAACAACTACAACAGAAGGGAGAGTCACGATGGAATCTTGATCTGATCACCAAAGAGAAAGCGGAGCTCGAGCGTTTATTAGTTTTCCAGAATGATTACTGGGCTCAGCGTGCAAAAGTGAAGTGGAACCAAGAGGGGGATCAAAATACCAAATTTTTTCACAACTGGGCTACCAAGCAAAAGGAAAGAAATTGGATTACAGCTTTGATGGATTCCACTTCTACATGGTGCTATGATCATATAAGGATTCAAGATTTGATGAGGGAACACTTTAAGGTCGTGTTAGTAGAGCAGGAGGACTATCATGAGGATGATTTATGGGATACCCCGCCCTCTCTGATAGATTTGGTTGAACATGTTATTACACCAGAGCAACAGCAAAACTTGGGTGTCCCATTCTCAGAGGGTAAAATTGAAGAATTGGTGAAGGGTATGGCACCAGGGAAGGCTCCTGGTCCTGACGGGATCCCGGCTGGTTTTTACCAAAGATTATGGTCTCTCATCAAGGAAGATGGCATCAAGGTATGCAAGGGGATTTTGAATCACCAACACTGTGACTTAGAGTGGAATTAGACTAAAGTGATTTTCATTCCGAAAAAAGGTAACCCCCAAAGCCCTACAGAGTATAGACCCATAAGTTTAAGCAATGTTAAATATAAGATAATTGCAAAAGGTTCTAGCCAACAGACTCAAACAAGTGCTACCAGATATAATTTCTGAAGGCCAGAATGGTTTTGTGCCGGGTCGTTATATTGGGGAAAATATACTATTGGCACATGAAGCCATTGAGTTTATTAGAAAAAGAAGAGTGGTAGGCGTGGAGTAGTTGCTGTGAAAACTGATATGAGTAAGGCCTACGATCGAATGTCGTGGACCTTTCTAGAACAAGTATTACAAAGAATGGGCTTCCCAGTTCCTTTTGTTAGCCTTATAATGAAATACGTGTCCACGGTAAGCTTCTCAACATGCGTGAATGGTAGTCAATCTGACTACTTTGAACTAAGTCGAGGACTTCGTCGGGGGTGTCCCATCTCGCCCTACCTCTTTATAATCTGTCAACAGGTTTTATCCATGGCATTGAGGAGCTTAGACCGAGATGGGAGAGGCTTTGGAATGAAAATGGGGCCATCCACACCGAGGTTAACACAACTTATGTATACTGATGATTGTTTGGTCTTTATGGAGGCAACAAGAAGAAATGTGAGGGCACTTGAAAAGGTTCTTGATCAATATGTGAAGGCGTCTGGTCAGAGGATTAATTTTGACAAATCTACCATTCAACACTGGTTCCACATTTAAAGAATGGATGTCATCATGGCTCCAAATCCCAATCAGAGGCTGCCAGCAGAAATACCTGGGTTTGTGTCTGGATTTTATGAAGAGAAAGACACTATTCTTTGGGGATATTGTTCAGAAAATGAAGGCAAAGCTTAGTACATGGAAAAATCGAACATTATCTACAGATGGAAGGATAACCCTTGCGAAACATTCCCTTGCCACTTTACCAATATACATGATGGGAGCTTTTAAACTACCACAAAACATTACGAAGCAAATAGATCAGGTGGTGGCAAGATTCATTTGGAATGTGGACAAGGATCGTAGATGCATCCATTGGGAAGCATGGAGTCATTTCTGTAGATCCAAATGGTACGGAGGTTTGGGTTTACGTGCATCCCGACAAATGAATAGAGCGTTGCTAGAAAAATTAGCTTGGCGTATTGTGGAAGATAAGGACTCCTTGTTTGCACGTATCTTTCTGGCCCGGTATGCAAAAGCAAAAGATTTTCTAGACTGTCCGATTTCAAAAACAGCGTCATGGGGCTGGCAGAGCATTCTCTGGGGACGGGAGTTGATAAAAGCCAGTTTAAAGTGACAAGTTCGAAATGGAGAGAGCATCCAAATTCAAGAGAACTGGATCCAAGAGGCGGAGAATCCAGAGGATTGGAGAAATCTAAAGGTAAAAGACCTGTGGGATGATACTAGGCAATGGAAGGAACCACTGATTAGAGAAATCTTTCCGGCATAAACGGTATCAAAAATACTCAAGATGTATGTTCCAAAAGGTCAATTTTGGCACAAGACCGTAGAGTTTGGGCGAAATCCACTTCAGGTTTATATACTGTGAAGAGTGGATACTAGGAAGCACGACAACAATTGTTGCAGCCCCAATCACCAGAAGAGGTAGGGCAAGGTATATCAATGAATTCTAAGGCTTGGAAATGCTTTCGGAGTATTTGGTACCAGTAAAAATGCAATGATTGCTATGGAGAATGGTTAATCATGCATTACCGTCGAGCATGGCACTAAGCCGGAGAGGAGTGACCACAGCAACAATATGTGTCAGGTGTAAACAACAGCAGGAGAACGTACAACACATTTTTCTGGATTGTGAGCATTCAAAGAGAATATAGAGGTGTCCTGCAGGTCGGAAGGCGGCAAAGGAAGGAGGGGAACGCTGGGCGAGATCTATCAGCAGCGAATTTCCCATACAAATAGAGGTGCCTATCAAAAAGATACTCCGAAGGCTTCGAGATCGAGGTATCCCCTAGGATTTGACTTTGATAGAGGGACGACAAGACCTCTGCCGAATTGGTTTCAAAACTGGTTGCTGTCAGCACCAGACAAGGAGGCAATACAGCAGTCATTCTTCATTTTTTGGTTATCTGGCTTGCGAGGAACAAGGAGGTATGGGAGTCCCACATAGAAGATCCGGGTCAAGTACAAGTGCGTGCGGTTTCAAATGGCAAGCTTTTAAAATGGCAGGGGAGTCAGTACAAGAAAGCCGAACACACATGAAGTTCGCGTTTAGAAGTCTGGTTGGGTATGTGTGAGCAAATGCAGGGACAATATTATGTTAGGACTGATGGAGCATACCAAGAGGCTACTTGTCAGGCTACGGGCGCCTGGGAAATCATCACTCACCAAGGACGACACATAGCTTCAGGGGTAAGCAGCTTTCCAGCGTCTTCCACAGAAGATGCTGAAGGAAGAGCATGTCTCCTTGGGCTACAAGCGGCGATAGAGCGGGACTTACTCGACTGTCAGCTATAGACTGATAGCCAGAATAATGTGGATTATATTCTCTGTAGGAAACAATGTCATTATTCCCTATCCTCTTTAGTGGAGGACATTAAGGCTGCTATTTCTAGTTTTTGCAATGTTAAGTGTGTTATGAAAGTTAGTAGAGATATAGTGGAGATTGTGCATAGATTAGCAAAAGCATGCTTTCAACAAGGAGATGTTGTGTAATGTTTCTTCTATCGGTAATGGAAATGTTTAGTCAAAAAAAAATTATTTTTAGGGCTACGTTCAAGGTTATAAATTTATCTTGTAAGAAAAAGTGGGTAAAGAATGGGGAGAAATTTATAACCGTTGCTCGACAGAGGAAGTTGGCAAAGTTGAAAACTGCTCACTCTTTTTCTTTATTTTGGGCACAAGCGGAAATTATTTGTATTAAATCAAAGCAAAGTTGTAAGGCTAATTACAATCAACCTAAATTGATCTATTACAATCAACCTTAAACGTCTCTGCTCAACATTGGTTTGTATCGCTAGAGAGTGCTAAGTTTGCCAAAATGTAAATAAAAGAGTTCCAATCAACCTTAAACGTCTCTTCTCACTATTGATTTGTATCGCTAGAGAGCTTTAAGTTTGATCTATTACAGTCAATCAACCTTAAACATCTCTTCTCAACATTTGTTTGTATCATTAGAGAGCGCTAAGTTTGCCAAAATGTAGTTACTATTTTTTATGGGAAAAGAGAATGCGCTTTGAAATCAGAAGATTCAAAACAATGTCCTCGCAACTCCAATTCAGAATTTTGCTCATGAATGATCAAATAGAATCTAGAACGTTGGTTTGGATCATGTGGCATATACACAATTATAAATATCACATCAGCTTTCAAAACAATTAAAAAAAATAAAATAAAAACGAAGAACTTCTATTTCCTTGGAGAAAATAAGGACCAAAACAAATGAGACTCTGACAAACAACACATATGATCTATCCCTGTCCTGTGGCTTCTGTTCTTGTTTTCAAACCCAGAAGAACCCATTTCTGACTTCCAATTCTTACCAAAAATGGCTACAAAGCTATCGTTAGCTCAGTTCTTAATCACAGTGCTGCTTTTACCGGTTCATTTCGAGTTTGTTCCGGTGGCGGGTTCAACCATTAAGTTTCTTCCAGGATTTGAAGGGCCGCTTCCTTTTGAACTTGAGACCGGGTGAGTGGTGTAGTTTTTTTCTAAAGTTTATCCTTTTTTATGGAGATGATGTTCATCATCCATGATCTTGTTGTTATGGCAAAAAATTAGGTACATAAGTGTTGGGGAATCAGATGAAGTGCAGCTTTTTTACTACTTCGTAAAATCTGAATCCAATGCTCAGGTTGATCCTCTTATACTTTGGATGACTGGTGGACCTGGTTGCTCTTCCTTGACTGCTTTAGCCTTTGAATTTGGTAAACCCATAATTTTTTTTTGTTTTTAGTTCATTCTGGAAGGATGAGATTTTCCACTTTCTTGATTGAACAGAACACTGTACAAACAATTAATTTTGTTGATAAGACTACTCTGGAAAGTCTGTGTTGACTGTATCATGATGCAGGACCATTGCATTTTGAGAAAGTGGATAACACAAGCAGCTTACCCAGATTGATTTTGAACCCGAATTCCTGGACACAAGTGAGTATGGTTCCTCTGTTTTGTGACAATAGTTTTGGATTGAGCTAATTGGCCTAACAAATGTTTTAGATGGCTAGCTTTATTTTTCTGGACACACCAGTTGGAACAGGGTTCTCCTATACAAATAACCCCGATGCTCGAAAATCTGACACAATGCTAGCATGTAATGAAGCTCACGAGTTTTTTAGAAAGGTAAAATTTTCTTCATTTCAATGGTTCCATGTTAAAAGGGTTCTGTTTACAGTAGTAGCTGGGAATAAGAAGCGAAGCATCTCGGTTTCAAACCGATATAGTCAAAGCGTTGGAGAGATCAATAACCAATTTTGATCACTTAAATGTTGTATCTTGCAGTTTTTGTTTGATCACCCCGAGTTCATCTCTAATCCTGTATATGTTGGTGGAGACTCGTTTTCTGGTCTTATTGTCCCAATTGTTGCTGAATTGATAGCTGAGGGTAAATAACTTCCACTCCTTGGAAATAGCTGAGGGTTAATTACTGACATCAAATCCTAGTTGTAATCTGAAAGTTGAACAAGATGAATGATAATTTTCTCTTTTATTGTGAGCCATCAAACATATGTTCTGTATGAGAGTATCTAGCAATCTAAGCTCTTTCATCTGCAGGTATTGAAAAAGGAATTGAGCCACCTATCGATCTTAAGGTTAGTTCTGTAGCTTTTATGTCTTTAACCTCAGCTGTAATAAGTATATAAATATGCCAACATTTGAAGGATAATCATCAAGTTACTAACCGAATTCATCATGTTACACCACATATTTAAGTGATTCGTCTGTAGATTACTTATTTCAGGTCCATCTCTTGAATCTTTGCTGCTTTAAAATGTTTTCAGGGCTACATACTAGGCAACCCAGTAACGATTCCAACTGATAACGACTATGAAGTGCCGTATGCTCATGGGGTAGGCCTTATTTCTAATGAACTCTATGAGGTATGCACTCATTTGTTCTCCCCCCTCACTGTTTGAGACTTTAGGTTTGGCAACTAACTCACTTCTAATGTTCCTCAAAAGTCTCTTGAAAGGAACTGTGAAGGAAATTATCAGGATATAGACCCAAGAAATGTACCATGCCTAGATGATATGAACACCTTTAATCAGGCCAGTAACGATTTTTACGTCTGCATTCTCTCTGGTTGCTTTGTCTTTTGAAGTTGCCAGTGTAATGAGAGAGATTCTTGTGCTCCTTTTGCAGTTACTTAGTAACCTAGAACATGGAAACTTTTTGGAACCATTGTGTACTTTCTATGCACCAAAGCCGCGAAACCTGATCTCTGACGGATCACTTGATGAGAAGTTCCTAGAGTTGAAAAGACGTCAAAGATTTCTTGCATCTATGTGTCGTGTAAGAATTCTTCCATCCAGATGGTATACTAAAAAGGAAGAACTCCCCACTTCTGTTTCACATTTTGCCTGTTTATCATCTGCCTGTTTAGTCTGACGGATACAAGCTTGCTTACTCATGGACCAACAATGATATTGTACGCGAAGTCCTTCAGGTTCCCAAGGTACTAGCTCGCTTATATGGCGCTTCTAAAGACTTCTAATCTTTGAAATAGAGAAGCATTTCGTCATACACAACAAGATTTTCCCACATACCAAAGAGTAATTCTTGGTAGGCTGAAGGTATTTATATTCATCTTTATGTCTCTTTTCAGGGGAGTGTTGGAAATTGGCAAAGATGCAACTACTTTGGGGTGAGTTTAACGACCACAGTTCGGGATTGTGTACCGTATCATGCAAACCTAAGCCGTAAAGGTTACAGATCTTTGATTTACAGGTAGGTCATCAATCCAAACCATCAGTTAGGGCTAGTTTTCATCTTGTGTAACATACTAACATCTGTTTTGCAAACTAACGAAATTTGTGAAACAATGACAGTGGAGACCATGACTTGATTGTTCCGCATATAGCAACTCAAGCTTGGATAAAATCTCTGAACTACTCCATAGTTGATGACTGGCGACAATGGCTAGTTGAAGGACAAGTTGCCGGGTGGGTATCAATCTCTGCAGTTTCGGCTTTTATTTCAAACGTTTGAAGTAAAATGACATTAAAATGGACTGATACCAAAGCTTGATCCATTTCATTGTGTAGGTATACAAGAACTTATGCCAACCGGATGACCTTTGCAACAGTTAAGGCAATGCTACTTTTTTTTTTTTTTGTCCCAGTTGAATTCTATCCTATTAGGGTTGCTTTCCGAAAAGAAAAAGAAAAAAGTTGTTTTTGCTTGACAAATCTATTCAGATGAATTCTAATTTTTCATTTAACTCTTACAGGGTGGTGGCCATACTGCTCCTGAGTACAGACCAACTGAATGTAAGGCCATGGTCAAAAGATGGTTATCTCATGACCCTTTGTAAAAATGTATTGCACATTCTGTGGTATAGTTTGGCCTTATCGTTTGAGTCACATATACTACATACTCCCTCCGTCTCATAATTATTATCTAGTTTGAGCTTTTATTTCTAGTTCAAATTGTACTAAAAGTAAAATTTCAAAATGGACAATAATTTTGGGACAGAGGGAGTAGTAGTATTGATAAGTTCTTTCTTAAAGATTACTCTTGTATAGAACAGGTAAATTATTTTCTTGGAACAGAAATAATATATAATATTCTACTTTTCCCATAAGTATTACCAACAATGTTACATCTGATGGAATTCCTTATAGTGCCAATAACGGGAAAGGAAAAAAGGAATGAAAATGAAAATGAAATGCCAATCTGATGCCAATTGTACATACTTTTTTTTTTAATCGAACAATGACACACTGTATGTCATTAGTACAGTAACTATTCCATTCACTGAATAATGCAAATCATACAGACCAATCTCAGACTATTCTTGAAACAGTAATTTTTTAAAAAGAATTTACATGCAAATGCGCGCGCGCGCGCATCTGTAGTTTAATCCACATTATTACATATAATCTATTTTTCTTTGGAATAAAATGCTAGGTGAACAAAATTATGAGAAACACTAATTCAAGTGTGAATCTAAAATCTCCAAAGCCAGATAAACAACAGGAGAAAGAAATGTTTAATTTTTTAAATCTTGACAACTACCCAATCCATTTTGATTCACTATTTTCTAAAGTCAGGTAAACTTGAGGGCAAAATACTGTAAAATTTTAATTTATGAAAGCAATAAAAATACTCAGGTACCAATCGGAACTTGGGAGACTCTCCCGCATATTATAAAAATGGCCCCAACAGAGTGGATTTAAAAATGAAAAAATAGAAAGAAAATTGTAGACGTGACGCCAACATGGCGGTATTTAGAAAAACAGAATAATAAGAAACTTTAAGCGAGCGAATGTTTAATTTGTAAAATCCCGAAACTACGAATTTCATTTTATTTTAAATTTTAAATCTCTTAAATTCAGGAAACTGGCTAGAGAAAGAAAAACAAAAACCATCAACTTCTTAACATACACATTAAATTTTGAACCTAGAAATAAGAATAAAAAATACTATACTTTCTAAGCAAAAGATGTATAAAGTTGACTACAAATGTTCAAAATCATGGTTGTAGTATTACATGTGAGACCCCAAAATGCCCGGGGAAGGCTTCTATATCAATCAGAAATATCGCTTCCACATTCAATGTCGAACCCTAGGTTTCCACAACTTCTTCTCTCATAAATTGTTGAAGTTCCTGTGTATAATGTATTGCTCCTCTCTCTCTCTCTCTGTGTACATGGTGATGGTGCTGAAACTACAAAATCCACAAATATGGAGATTCTTGTACACAAAAACTACAAACTCTTCGCTCATATATGATAAGGAAACGGTGTGTATCATTGTGGCTTGAGTCATACTCACTTTGAGAAGCACATAAGAAGAATCATATCATAGTGCTTCCACCAGAAGAGTAAAATTAGTTTTTGATAATCCTAATCACTTGTCGCGCTCCTCCCTTTTAGGAAGTAGATCTCTTCGATACCTTAAGGGGAACCACCTTAAGCCTGAACCAAAGAAAAGAAGAGAAAAATCAAGAAAATTGGATAACACAACCCGGATTGAAAAGGTGCACCAGCAAAGCGAAAAGGTCAAAAGTCGGGGGTGTGATTATTACCACAAGAATTTCTTGAGAAGAACTTCAATATCTCATCAATTATGATAACCTGAACCAGAGGAAAGCTATCATGAGGAATGTGAAATATAGTATTAGAGGACAGGCAACTTAAGGTTGGTATGCATGCCAGCCATCGTATCACAAATGAAATTGTAGATTACTATCTCCATTTATATAGTTTAGCAGAATAAAAGCAGTAGATTAAAAAGAAAAATTACCAAGGAAACCATAAGTGTTTAACATGATCAGATATCATAAATTCACTCTTTCCAAGGATAGAATTTTAGAATATCCATGTTTAACATTTGGAAGAGTTGACTCACCGGAAATGAAAGGTACAATACAACCCTCCATTCTGACCAGCTTAATGGTGTTACCTACACGATAAATGAGAAAGTTCACAGCATAGAACTGGGTGCCCGCAGAAAACGGACAAGTTCCAAGTGGAATAAAGGGGCAAAGGAGAAGAACATACCGAGAAAATTACAGCTAATGGTTGAACATACAATATAAGCATATGAAGCAGTATTGTCAGGCCAATAGAAGCAACAAGCCACAAGTTACTCCATGGAGGGATAACACTGAAAATCACAAATAGAATCAGAATACGAGCCCTCAACTTCACAACCAAAGAACAGGAAAGAAAAGAAGAAGACCATAAGAGCATCAATTTAGCTTGCAAAGGGCAACAACATTAACATTCTAAAACAATTAGCAACAATTACTTGAAAGTTCATCCTAAAACCAATCGATGGAACATAATGGAGCCACATGATCCTTAGAGCCAACTGCATATAGTAGGCTATAGGCTTCTTCTCATAAGGAAGTTTGTTAAAATCACTAATGGCACTCGTTAACTCCCCTCTCAAATAATTAAACTTTCACTAATTTCGAGACAAAGAATCAGAGTTTTTCATGGTCCTTGATATTCATGTCTTAATGCATCTGCACTCCGATTTTTCCACAAGCCCGATTAAAAGGGCCTATTTAGAAGGGGAGGGGGATACATTGGTTAAGGTAAGAAACAACTTTTAGATGTTCAAAAGTACGTACAAGAGGGACTGATTTTCACTTAGATTGTTCAAGGCATTGAACATCTCAACGACAACAAGCACGGTCATTGAAACAGTTGAGGGATGCCGATCACTGAAAACGCTGCACGGATAAGCAGTTTCCCTTGTTGAACAGCTGTCAAAATTCATCTGCAATCATCAAGATATAAGTGTCAGCTAACAGCTGCTATTGATGCTTGCTAAAGCTTGTACTTCACCAAGAAGTTATTTGGTGGAAAACATATACTTACGGTTCTGATGAATAAAATAGAACGTAAAGGAACATACTAAAGCCCGAATTGGTATTTCTAGATACGAAATCATCCATCCCTCATTATAGGGATACTGTAGAAAAATTCTCCGTAAAAAGGTAAATGCCACTTAGAAAAAGGAGAGAGAGAAATATAACCATTTACGAAGCCTTTTTTTTTTTTTGCCTTTTGTCTCTTTAAGCTCTAGAGTCTACAATAAGGGGCGGGAGAGTTGACAGTCATAGTGCGAAAGTAACTATAGGCTATCGATAATCATATTAGTTACTCCAAGAAAGTTACAGTATAGGCTATAGATAATCATACTAGTCGCTCTAAGAAAAGTCCAAGAATCCAAACGCGTCCCTAAAACATTATTGAACTTACCAATTCACTGTATGGAAGTTTAGGCCCAGTGTCAGAGTAAATAAACCACCATATGAATCCAGCAATAGTGGCAAGCCCAACATATGCTGCAACATCAAAATATCTTTCATCATAATGAAATGCTGAAAGTTAAAGTTGGACAAATAACCATCATTGACAAGACAGATGAAGGCAATCCAAAGTGACCTAAACTTCAAAAACTCCAAGATAAAAAATACAAATGATAATTTTCGGATGTAACAAAGCATCACAACTGATCAATTTAAACAAAGCTGAAAACTTTAATCTGTTGAGATGAGAAGGAGAAGTAGAAATCAATGTTCATTCAAGAATGCCCTAGGGCCGAAGCTAAGCCAAGTGAGACACTTATACATTAAATCAAAGAACACTCAGCCAGCTCTTTATTCCTACCTCCAATAACCATATAACGGAAGAACAGCCATCCTGTCACCACCGCTTCATTTACCTGCCAATCAGAACCATAAAGGTTAAGTCCATGAGAATTGAGGAACCCAAAACACCATCTATATAAAGAAAATAATAAACAGCAAACATCTCGAATTCATGGGAACAACTCCATATCCCAACTTCTAGCAAGCACAGACTGTGTAAAGAACCCTTAAGAAACCAAAGTACAATGCCACAAGGGGAAAGAGAGAAGGCATAAAGAAAATAAGCCAGGAAGTTTGAAATTCAACAAATCTAAAAAGAAAGAGCACATCAGCTAACATTAAAAGGGAAAAGAAGGTAGAAGAACTGACATGTTTAAAAAATATGGGGCATTTAGAGCAAACAAAGACTACACCATAACATAACAAGAAGCCTTTTCCCACTATGAGGGGTCGGATATATGGATTATGGCCATCATTGTGCTCAGTCAACACACATACAAAAAATAAAAACATAAAGCATGCTAACTCATGGATCATACCTTTCGAGGTTTAGCCTTCATCACATCGGAGTCCTGCTTGTTGAATCCAATAGCAGTTGCAGGCAGCCCATCTGTAACCAAATTTACCCAGAGCAGCTGGACCTGCAAATGACCAAGAAGATGTACCATGGAAGTGTTTAGGTTATTGGGTGTGATGTTACATCATATCAATAAAAAAATGACAAGAAATAATGAAAATGTTAATAACAAATGGATCATGAATTTTGGCTTTGGAAAAAGTTCTCCGATTCCACAATCTTGTCCTATGAAATAAAAAGTTGGTAAGAAACTGATAGACTAATGAATCAATTCAATTAAAGCCTTATTGCTGTTCTAAGAGGGTCAAGAAAATGCTTAGCATGTTTTGATCTCAAAGTTTATGGTCACCAAGGGGCGGATGTGTATACAAGCTAGGTTGGGGCAATTGCCCCAGCTGAAATTTTTTATTTTTGCTCCTTGCCCTCTGAAATTTTTAGATTTTTTTAGAAGAACAGTTCTTGCCCCACCTAAATTGACAATATTGAGGGGCAAGCATGCTAAACTAGAAATTTTGAAAATTTTGCCCCATCACATCTCAGGAGGCTTGGCTCCACACTCCAACATTGCTACCTAGCCAGCCTTCACCACCTTTCCCAGTGCTTAAATCTATAACACAATCTTTTCCTTAAACATAGTGGCTTCAGCAAAGTTTCTCAGTTGACCAGCCAACTGTTCAGATATTCTTTGCAGCATTATGTTAGTTTTATCTTGCTAAACCTGCACCAGTCCTGATGATAGCAACTGTCACCTCCAAATAGACAAAATCATGAATTTGGAAACAAACATTACGACATGTGGAGAAAATGTTTCACATACGAATCGTAGACACTTTTTTTTAAAAATAAAAAATTAAAAAAAAAATAAAAAAAATTTGGATGGCCCCAGCGAGAATCGAACCTTTGACCTCCCGGTAATAACCATCTCCCTTCCTAATCCATTAACCACCCCACCCAAATCGTAGACACTTAAACATGTAAGAGGGAAGCCTCAGCAACCAAACCAACTACCATTAGAACACGCTCATATCGCAGGTCAATTTTAAAGAAGCAAACATATTTATTGGTTAAATATGCACCAAACTCAAGAAGTTTAAAAAAGGTTCTGCCATCTAATGTAAAACACCAGTATGAAACCTCATATCACAAAAGCACCCAGACAAATTCACTAGAAATACTTTCAAGCGCCCAACTTCTAGATCAAAAGAAAGCACATGGAAAAGTAAGAATTCAGCCCGAAAGCAGGAGACAAGGCATAACCGTATCATTTTCAAAAAAAAAAAAATTTATAAGTTGAACCAGCAGATAAAACTCACAGGCATAAGTGTTTCAGGTATACCGAGTACTGCTGCCACAAAAATACAAACAACTTCGCCAATATTTGAGGATATCATGTATCTGATAAACTGCTTTGTATTATTATAAATGGCTCTTCCCTCGGCAACAGCCTGTCAAGAAAAGGAAGCAGAATTCGATTATAGACTGAAACAGTTAGTTCTGAATGAACATAAAGAATGTATATAAAGAAAACCATTAAAAGGGCGGGAAAAAAAGGGGGGGCGGGCTTTAGTAAACTCACAGCAATGATTGTTGCAAAATTATCATCTGCCAGAACCATGTCTGATGCACTCTGAGAACTCAACGTAGAGTAAAAACTAAATTAATGATAAAGTTCCAAACAAAGCTCATCTAATAGCAAATAAACTGAGAGTAGAAATATGAGGTTGACAGTTAACATAACACTTTAACTACTCCCTCCCTCCCTCCCAACCATGTGAACCATGCAATCATATTTTCTGTTAAGGTTTCTCCCTTGTCTTCAGGGACTAGAGAGTTAGAGAAAGTACCTTGGCGACTGCTGTTCCCGATCCCATGGCAATTCCAATGTCCGCTTTCTTCAACGCAGGCGCATCATTGACTCCATCACCAGTCATGGCCACCTTAAAAGGCATTCATTACTAAGTTTCTCCATTAATTAAAAAGATTCAGAAGATGACACAGAGGTTATGATTTTTACACACTTGAGTTTACAAAGTCTTCTAGTTTCAACAGAGTAAATTAGTCATGCTACTCAGAATGCCACAACTACTGGTAGCTACTCTATGATATACAATGAACACCATCAAAATTCCCAAGAAAATTTGGATTCAAAGGACAACGAGGTTCACTTACGCCAATAACAAACGTGATAGCATTTAGGCTTATAATCTTTCATTTGGAAAGGAAAAATCAATCAAGACCAGGGAAAACTTCTGAAAAAGATGACAAGAACCTATGTTGTTCAATCCATGACATAGAACTCCAGTCACAGTTTCTTACCACTTCATTTTGGTGTTGTAAAGCTTCAACTAGCATCCTCTTGTGAGATGGTTCAACCCTAACAGCAAGTAAACCAAACCAAAAGAGAGATTATTATGCAATCAACTAAGTGACAGCCAAACAAAACGATTCACGAAAGAGCAGCTATAAGTAAGATTATATGCACCGAGTGAAAAGAGCCATTTGTTGCAATGCCACGGTTTTCTGAACAGCTGGGAGCTCTTCAAACTCCGAAGCGGTGTAAGAGTACCCCGCAGAATCTTCCAAATGATCAAAAGTCCCAATCTTTTTGCACAATGATTCTGCAGTGGTCTAACAGTATGTCCCAAATTAAAATCAGTTCATTAGAGCAAATAGACTAGCTCATGAATTCGTTAATGTATGGTTTAACATGCAAGAACGCCGATGCTCAATTTACCTTATTATCTCCTGTAACAACAATAACACGTATGCCAGCAGTCATACATGATTGTATAGCATTTTTTACTTCTTCCCTTGGTGGATCAAGCATTCCGACCTTATAAATATTGAAACAACAAAAGATAAGTCCTAGTTTGGCTGGTGAACTGTAGCCGGAAAAAGTCATTTCCAAAAGGAAATCATAAGTAACAGGAAAACTTCAACGAGGGAAAAAAAAAAAAAAACCTTTCTGCAAATTTCTGAAACGGATATTGGCAAAGATACAGATTGTCTACTAGTATATTTGTGTGTGTGTGTGTGTGTGTTTGGTCGAGCTATATAAGCAAGGTATGGCAAAAAAAAACCGTAAGTGAGTCTTAAGAAATTATAAGTTAAAACATGGAGGAAACAGATGCCAATTTATGTTCATGTCAGATATCATCCAGTCAGGAATAATGCAAGAATTCACCCAAGCAGCGGTGAATATACATATTTTCTGATAACCTACCCATATTATTGTAATTTTTTAATAGAGGTGGCAAAAATTACTTCAAACCATTATTTAATCAAACTAGAGCAAAACAGTTACGCTATGTAGAGGACAACAAAAACTCATGCAGCCTCAAAGCTAACTAGATCATCCCAGGATCACATCAAACTGCATGTCCTTTTTGAAGCATAAACCACTATGATAAGCCATCAAAACACGAGCATCTATTGTAGAATAGTATCTTTCTTTGGGCCTAGATGGAACAGTTCAAAAGTTACACATCAGAAGACAGCCACAAGCCAAGACCAACTTCAAGTCCTAAATCAATCCAATCGCAAAACTGAAGGAGAAATATGCGGGACTAGCAAATGACCAAAGACTTTAATCTCCAGATATATAATGTATGTATATCATTTATTTGTGATCAATCTCCCAATGAAATAGAAAGGAATAATGGCAGAGAGGCCATGGTTGTATTTCAAAGACAAAAGGAAAGTTACTCTTCTGAATAGTTTCGCAAACAGTATATGTTGAAGGTTATATACTAAGAGAATGAGCGATAATGAAGAGAAAGCATACCAACCCAATAAATGTGAGATCCTTTTCATCATCATAGGAGAGAGCTTGTTGACCCATAGGCATCCTTTTCAAGGCTAGAGCCAAGCACCTCAACGTTTCTTTTCCTGCCAAACTGATATTACGAAATCCCTTAGAACTAGGCCTACATCTGCAGTTTCCTAGGTACTATTAACAAATAGAAAGTTATCCTATCATGAAACATGGCCAGCATTTGTTTAAAAATGGAAAAGTCAAAGCCAACTGAGAGAGCCAGAATATTTAAAGTCACAGTAAACCTCCTGAAAAATATCATAAGCAGATTATAACATGAGAAGCATAGAGCAGGGGCTGGCTTGTTCTCTAGTTCATGGAAAACAGAAAAGTCGTCTGGCTAAGGAAAAAGCCTACTTCTCACCTGTGAAATCTTGATTCCAACTCAGCTCTGATAGCAGCAGTTAGAGGAACAGTGGAACCATCATCATTGCAGAGGATTGTTGTACAACGAGAAAGTATACTCTCAGGAGCACCTTTTGAAAACATTATCTCCATCTGCTTCCGGCTACAGAGCACACTCATCATTTTGCGATCACGAGAAAATTCCAATATTGATATCTGAAGGCGAAAAATAATTGTAAAAGAATTAATAGCACGAAAGATAACTTGGTCCTTCTGAAAATGGAAAGTTGAGGCTTTACTAAAAGAAAATTAAGCAAGAAGAGAGTTATTTTGCCTTGGCACTCAGCATGCCTGGGCACCAAGCAAAGTTGGAAGGACGACGCACAAGGCCTCAATTCAATACTCACTAATCAATTCATGCAACTTGGCTTAGAAATACTTGATGGCACTCAATAAATAATACAAAAGGTGTACATATCGCCAGTAAAAAAACAAGTACAAACCTTTTTAAATTGGTTCTCCCAGTAATGATTACAATAGGACGCCCGTTCATGCTTGCTCAGCATATTTAAAGCAGAAGGCATAGAATCAAACCCAGGAAGACCAATCTAATGACAGGAAATACAAAGCTCGATCAATCTTGAAGCTGGATTATAAAATACTAACTTTACATTTTAAGCAAATAAAGAAGCTAACCTTTTCAGCCAATACTCTCAGAGCAACTTCAGTTGACTCACCGATTTTTTCATAATTCCTCTTTTCAGGGTTATACTGTATAACAGATTCGTTACAAAGAGCTGAGCACATCGCTATGTGGAGAAGACAAGGGTACTGGGCGGGAATCTCAAGCTGCACAATGTAAAGCACAAGCATAAACGAGATAGATAGAGTGCAAGGGCAGAAAGATACTTGCTTATCCATATTCACCAGACTAAAAATCCATATTCACCAGACTAAAAAGAAAATTCAAAGTCTAATTAGTTCCGTGTCAGCATAGCTAAGTTTAAATGCTAAGAGGAAAAAAAGCACCATTTTTTAAAATGGACATCACTTTCTGCTTTCCAAAAGTTCCCTGAGAGACTAAGACCACTGAAGACTCTAAACTGGTTTTTACAAATGTGGAAACCTGGTAAGCCTTCATGCTGACCTTAGGTAACACTATCTATCTACCCCATCTCCAAACAGGCACTCTGCATACCAAATAAGTTTCAAGAATGGAAATAACATAGAAAATAGACAAAAATTGTTTCTTCTCGAAGACTAGAAAGACTACCAAGCCTAAAAGAGCCTTTGTCCAACAATTTATATAGTCTTCTATGAGTCTGGATACTTGTTACAAATCCTTCTACAATGTTTGTGCTATGGATGACAGCTGTATAGCCATATTTAAGTTCCTTTTCTAACGCATTTTCAAGTTTCAAGGAGCATCTGAACTATCCCAGAGAGATACTCCTCCATTTAAAAATACATGTAGCTTGCCAAAATTAAGGAAGAATTAAATACTCCTAATAAAATACACTTAATTAAAATACAAAACTACCCCTACTATTCCCAATATGAGGGGAATTTTGGAAAAATTTGGTAAAAGATGCCCAATATAGTAAAATCACATATACACTGATTTTTACATTTTCCTTAAACAGTTTAAAATGGAGAGAGTAGTTTACAAATCAAGTGGCAAGTAAACAGAGAACGCAAATAAGCTTGCTAAAGTCAGTGAAGAGATGCTACTTTCTTGAATGATATTTATAAGTCACGACAAAAATCATAAACTTGGAACCACAACCGAAATAGTGTAAAAAGAGCAACCTTTACCTGGATACCTGTGTTATCAAAAACAAAACCTTCTGGAGCATATGTAGTGCCACTGACACTATACTGGGCTGAAACAGGACCATGATTTACTGAATGAAGTACACATATCTGCAAAGGAAAAACGATTCAATAAATGCTACCTTCTAATCTGGTTCTTAACTCTATACAAAGAGAAAGCAGCAAAATTCAAAGCAAAATAGCTTAAGAATTTTCTCTGACAACAATAATGAACCAACCATTACTAATGTTGGAATATTTTAAAAGTTGACATTTTCATGTGTGCGTGGGAGAGTACAATAACCAACATTCATCTCAAATAAGATTAACAGATATACAGAATGACAGACATAAAGACCAAATGTTCACCTTTGAGACAGACATCATATTAGTAGTCAGAGTACCAGTTTTATCACTGCATATCACAGTTGTGCAGCCCAAAGTCTCTACAGATGGCAAGGATCTCACAATAGCATTTAAACGAGCCATTCGCTTAGTTCCAAGAGCTAGACACCTGCAGGCATTAGTAGGAAACGACATGTAACGACACAAGGTATTCTCACAAAGATCAATATACTCGAGAAGCTTTAAACTTACTAAAGATACCAGTTATGCATCATAAACATCTATATCAATATATTAAATATTTGTTAGGATATCTAAGTGATTTTGGAGCATGCTTGATCACAATTTCCAAGAAATTCGTGAGGAGACATTACATACATTAATATTTTTACAATTTCAATACCATTTATGCAGCCTTAGATTCTTGACCATCAGTAATTCAAGGCCTACATACAATAAGAATTCTAGACTTGAGCAGAAAGCAGCAGACTTATGTTTTTATCCTTCCCCGTCAAGTAACTGCAATCTGAACAAACCTTTAAAGGCTACCCTGTGTGGTTGTTTTGTTCAGTTTCCCAACGTAATATGATGCAAATTAATCACAACCTCCTCAAAATGAGACCTAACATAGTTTGTGACAAAATAAACTTCACATGAATTTAGACCTAACATAGTTTATTCAAGTCAGCTTTTTTTCCCACTGAAATTCAAGTGCAGGAATAATATGGATGCTGATAAGGGTTGTTGATAGTTAAGTTTCTTTTGGAATAGCAAGAACCACAATGTTCTACAACATCAAAAGTCAATAACTCACGTAGTGACAACAGCAGGAAGACCTTCAGGAATAGCAGCAACAGCAAGGGCAACAGCAATCTGAGCACAGACGGCCAGACAGATGAAACGAACAAACAGTGCAAGTCAACTCAGATGGAAAAAATATTACTGAAAGTCGAGAAAAGTTTTAACTCTAAAAAGGAGAGGGGGGGAGGTTACCTTAAAATAGTGTATTGCACCTCTCAAAAAGCCCCCATGTGCAGGATCCCGAAAATGACCAATGTTCACAATCCATACCAGAACACAGATACCGGCAATAACCTGAAAGAGAAGAAACTGCCTCAGGAGCACAAACCACAGAAGGGGGAAAAAGAAAAGAGTTGACGAAAATAATCTTCACAAACACAGTTGTTTCTTTTTCACAAAACCCAAAAACCCATGCAATGTGATTTTACATGAAAGTAACTAAATATACAACCACCAATTTTCTCCCGGAAATCTAGTGTGTTCTTTGATAGACTACAGATCAAAAGAGAACTCAAGAAACTCTACAACAAACTTGATACTGTCAAAGTGAATAAATCATATATGCCTAGAATGTTTAAAATTGCACCTTAAAATGACAACAAAACTACTCCACCAGAAAAAAAAAAAAAAACAGTCAAAACAACCTTTTATAACCGATGACAATCAAATAATTCTTATTTTTCAGAGAAGTACATAACTTTAGATTCAGTAACTATCTAGTGTCTTATGGAGTTCCATGTATACAAATTCGGAAAAAAATTTCATGTACTCCACTAGTTAAAAAAAAAAAAAACAAAGAACATTGCAATGGCAAAAAAACTAAGAGCAGGGACACCCAATTATCATCCTTCTAGAAACATTTTCATTCAAGGAAAACAGAAATATAAGGGTCCATGTGTTCCTGTTGATAGCGGTTTTAAGTTGGAAATTGTGTCTGCAATTCATATCATACATAAAAACAAGACCAAGACAGGTAAGAGAATCTCAATCAACCTTGGCCAGGAATGTTCCAAACTCATCAAGTTTCTTCTTTAACGGTGTCACTTCCTGTAGCAAAATATTTAAAAAGAAAAAAGTTATTTAGTCCTTTTAAGAACTTGTCACAAAAATTTCAGTAGAAAAACAGCACAACAAAATAAAACAGAACCAATGTTCAACAGCTGCTTACATCCTCAGTTCTCAACATAGAGTCACGAATGCTTCCCATTGCAGTGTTAGAGCCGACACCAACAACAACAGCTCTTGCACGGCCTGAAACCACAACTGTTCCCTGGCCCCAAAGCATGATCATGTTAATTCTTTAGTTAATGACATATCCATATATGACAAAAGAACAAGGTGTTTCACAATTATCAATTTTATACGTCAACTGGCACATGCATACTAGAGTAACAAGTACTCTCTAACATGTGCAAATAAATGAACTCCAGCCGCATAAACTTTATCCAAGAAAGAAATTGAAAAATTGAGGGCTCGAAACCAGTTTGCAATAGTTTACCGAAAAAAGGATATTCGTCTTATCCTGGTATACTGCATTAGTAGCAATGGTAGAACCAAGCTCTTTTTCCACAGAACAGCTCTCACCTATCATCAAGCACTAATATCATTGAGACCCTATCAACAGATGTTAAAAAGAACCCAAAATACAAAATTTAGAAAAGGCAAGAAAATGGCTTAATATTTAAGCTGCAAAAGAGAGCGACTGCATAAAAAGAAAACATCAAGATGTGAACGGCCATAAATTATGTGTTTCACATTCAGGCAAAGAAGACTACATATTAAGAGAAAAGTTAACAAAAACAATTTATAGCTTGAGAGTTGAAACCCACATAAAGATCAATGATAAGATTTTGAAATATACAAAAAGCTTAAAAGTAAACAGCTGAATAATAACAGTTTTGAACAAGTGAATAAATCATTGTCACTAACAGAAGAAGATTTCACCAACGATTACAAAGCAAAGAGGAGCAAAAGTTGGTGAAGCACTGAGACATGAAACTCTCGTAACTAAAGCTCAGGAGTCATAATAATACACAAAGGAGTAAGCTCTAGACTTATCCCTATTTCAAATGTGCGCCAATGTATGCAGGAAATAAGCTTTTCTATATATAATTTTACTTTGACATGCTTAATTGCATATACTTTACCTGTAAGAATCGCTTGATCAACCCGTAAATGATCACTCAGCATCTCTACCATTCTCATGTCCGCAGGAATTTTGCATCCAACTGCTCATTCCACATAACCACCAGGAGAAAAAAAACAACAAATAAATACAAAAAATATGTTTATAGTTAAAGAAAAGATACTTCATTTCATAGGGCACAGTGTTAAACATTTATTAAATTCATTTCATAAACTTACCACAAACTTCCACAATATCCCCAGGGACTATGTCTGTCGCAGGTAATATCGAAAAGCAACCTAAACACATGATCCAAAATACACAAAAAAACAAAAAGTATTACCCAAAGTCGTTTGCCAGTCACACTGTAAAGCTTACAAATTCAGTAATAGATTACTTGTCCAGACACTAATGATAGCCTTAAAAGCAAGGGAAAAAGTTGAGTGAGATCTACGGTGAACTATCAGCAACTGCTTCCATATAATGCAAAACTAAACAATCGCATCTTGCTTTCCCTATGGTACTCGATCCATTGGTCTGATATTATAAACCTAGCGCATTACTGAGACCAAACTTTCAAAACAAAGTCCAAAAAGGGGCATCCTTCTTAAAGATGATCTGCTAGGAACCAAATGAAGGCGATCGCAGGGAGACATTCTTCCTAGCATTGGTCAAGTCTAATACTGTTAAACCTGCCTTTTAAAACATAATCCTATACTCATCTGCAGAAACATTTCCTTCTAACCAAAAAGAGAAAATTTGAAAATTCCATCCAGAATGCAGTCACTTTAATACTCTTATTTACAAGGATGCTTTATCAATTGGAATTGAGAAGTGTTCATGCCAGCAACTACAAAGTTGTGAGTCACTTACATCAACAAAGACATAACTGGGAAACAACTGTTCACAATCACAAGACTACTTAAGTAGGTGCAATCTAAAAACTCAGACAGCTGAACAGCTAAAGATGATTAAACAAATACATCAATCTCTGATGCTTTTCATCCCCGGTTGATTACTCACACAAAAAGCCAGAGCAAAATATTTAAACAGGCAATTTTTAATGAGCATTGAAACCAATGGGTAGATTAGTCAAAAATATTCTCAGCCCAGTAGGTACTATAGCATAACCAGCATCTAAAATTTGTGAGCATACAACAGAATTTTCTTTACCATTTCGCAGGACAGTGGCAACATCGGCTTGGTAAGCACGCAATTCCTGCAATTATTAAAAGAGCTTGATCAGTCCCTAAAAACCCAGAATGGAGGTTAAGAATTTCCATGTCTACATAACGCCGAATAATATTCACATCACAACTTCAAGCAAATCTAATGAATGATTTTGTCATTGATATTGCAGAATGTTCGTATAACTGTCAAAAGAACAAGTATAAAGCTTCAAACACACATGTGGCACCCCCGCCTCAGGAAAAATTAAAAAAATAAATAAATAAATAATCAGCACAACGAAAACTTAAAGGTTTATGAGACATTAAATAGAATGCAACAGTGCACAGGGATATCTTTAGAAACCAAGCCTCCAACAAAACATACTAAGCAGTCAGGATGAAAATAAAACAATCAATTCAAGTAAATTATCTCTTACACTACAATTCTGCACCTTAGTATATTTACTAGATATCCAATTTAACAAGCATAATCATCACAATTGTATTCTTTTGCTGGCATATATGGCATTGATGGTAAATTTATGATGTAGAAAAAGAATTCATGATCATTCAATTGTAAAATGATGGTGTAAATCAGTAGATGAAGTATAATGGCAGTGATACAAAGATATGACATAGGTTTATATAGCATTGACCAAAAATAAAGCAATAAAACAAAGATTATCATCAGAAGTTGAAGAGAAAATCATACAATAATTGCATGAATTAATTAAACACACCTCCAGAGCCTTTTCAGCATTAGTTTCTGTAATTACTCCAACAGCAGCATTAGCAGCAAGTATCATCAAAATCACCTATGTTAGAAAACACAAAATGAGTCGTGCATAAAAAAGAACCATCAAATCCATTTATTAACAGATACATTGTGGGATACATGCAGTCAAGATATGACATGTTAGCAGAAACATTACTACTTACAGAAGGCTCCACAAAGGCTGATAAACCTGTCTCTCCATCAACCAGTGCCAAAAGGAAGGATACAACAGCAGATGCAATTAATATCTTAACCAGCAAATCATCAAACTGTTTCAACACTAATTTCCAAAAGGGGGTACCTGCAAAGTCGGAAAAGAATACAACAAGAATGAATGAGCAGACTAACAAAAAATAGGTAAAGAAATACATTCATCAGTGGTCCAACAGCCCATGGTGGACACAAGAGTTTCAAATAGGACACCAGGAATAACAAAAAGAAAAGGTTATGAAGGACAATTAAGGAACATGTCATGGATAAGATTATCAATATTCCCTTCTCTTTTTCCAATTTGAGAGTACCTGACAGCGTAACTCATGGAATGGTAAAATATCAGGAGAAGCATCGTGCTGAAAAATGGGACAGACACAGGTACAAATTACTTAACTAAAGTGTTTTCTTCCCCCCACCCCCCCACCCCCGGGCCATGCAGACACATATATCGTAGAACAACTTGAGGAATAGAAAAGCAGAAGCAGTAATCACTTGTTTCAATATATTAGCTTGGTAGTGTTCATTTGTCTTTTTATAATATCTTTGCTTGTAAGCTACAGAAAAAGCAATAAGAGATTGAAACAACAAAGAATAACGTAGGGCAGTATGCAACCCGCAGTAAGATATTGAAAGGAATAAACAAGTATTGAGATCAGAAAGTAAGCATAAGCAAACTTACTTTGCTCTTGAGGCAGCACTGAACCAACAATTGCACCCCACACATGAAAAAACACACAGAATTATTTGTCAAAACATAGAAGATAAGCACAAACAGAAGCCAGTAACTTGCACATGAGTAGGAATACTAGCAAGTGATAAATATCAGATGATGATCCAACAAAACAAACAAACAAACAAACAAACAAAACAAAAACCAAAAAAAAAAAAAAAAAATCCAATACTCAACATCAACTGAGGACCTCCCAATAAGATTTTTTGTGGCAACGCGACCAAAAGAAACAGGGTTACAATACAACTCCGACTTTGAAAATGCAAATACAACCCGCCATTCTATAGCCTAATAACAGAAAATGTAATCCCATAAATTTTTGGCCTAATCAACAGGTTGCATGGACAATGAGATGTGATGCAGAGAGCAACCTCCCAAAATGGTTTACCAGAAGAAAGAGCGCATGTAGCCCTATCCTTTATGCTTAGAGAAGTAACTATGTAGACTTACCTAAGAATGTAAAACTGAATTCCTCCCTCAAATTCAAAATCAAAATTTAGTCCATCATTCACCATTCAAAGCCATCGCTCATTCTAAAAAATAAAATTCACATAAGAAGGATGATCATAGCTTACCATTTCGACCATACAGTCTTGCATGCTCAGCAACCTAAAGACCAAAAGAAGAACCAAACATTTCGATCACTTCCCCAAGTTAATAACAATCAATCAAGCAAATTTCGACAGTCGTATTTCAAACTTCCTATCATCCTACCTGAACATCAGTTAGCCCCTTACTTGGGTCCACTCCAAAGAACTCAAGAACCTGCATAAACATCAGAATTTCAATCCAATATGAAATTGCCCAAGAGTTCCACCCAATGAATAACGCAAACGATAAAATTCAGAATACTGATCATCATAAAAAAGCAATGAGTGTGAATGAAACAATAACCTCCGAGGCGGATCTTGCGTAGGCGTCCTCCATAGAGGAGGTGCAGTGGGGAAAGTATAATGAATTCGTTTGAAGCTCTGCTTCAAGCTTCAACGGTGGGTTCTTCTTGTAGGAATTCTTTCTGTTTCCAGTTTTACATATTATATACGGTGGAGTCTAGCGAGTTTCAGATCTGACAGCGACTTCTGCGAAGTGTATTTTGTGAGTTTTCTCGTTTCTTTTGTGTTTCCCTCACGTTTCCATTTTCTGAGGTTTTTAAGGGTTTTTATAGATTTTTTTTTTCTTTTTTCTTACTCCGATTTTACAACTGATGTAATAACTTGGTCCGAAATGTGTTTTTTTTTTTTCCGCTTCATGTTTTCAATTACTCTAATTCCTTTGATTTTTGAGAGTTTGATTTTGAGTTTGGGTCTTTGCACGGAAGGAAACGGTGTGTGTTTGTTTTTTCGACAAGAGAGTAAATAAAATTATGAAACTGTGAAAGTGATGAGTTGACCGATGAAAATATCATGTATTGTAGTTAATTTTTTATTTTATTAGTAATTTATGGTTTTTAAATGGTGTAAATTAAAAACTTTATGGCCCAAAATTTAAGTTTAATACAATAAAAAAGAAAAAAAATACATAAATAGTCAAATTTCTTAAATCAAATAGAATCATAAAATCATAAGATTTTAATATTTTTAAAAATTCTATCAATTTTATTAAGATTCTAGTACACCGTGAAATCCTAGTAGACTTAGAATCGATACAGTATATTAAAGAATTTTAGATTTTAAGATTTGAAGTGAGAATTTTAAAAATCTTGGCTGCTAGTATAACTAAGTGTTAGACCCGTCCGATAGACGAGGAGAACATACACATATAAACATTATCACACAACCGAAGCAAAAAAAAAAAATATCAATATTTTATAGATTTTGTATTTCTTTCATAAAATGTGTAATGACTTCGTTTGGAAAATATAAAACACAAATATCAACAACACATTACCAAATGAATACTGTGATAATTTATTTAACGCAAAAAGGATTGTTAAAAAAATCTAAAAAAGAGAATATATAAAAAAAAGAGTGAATTTCGAGTTAAATGATTCTATATCCATTGAGTTGCTACTGAAACTTCAACTGAATGCAATACTTATTGTTTCCATACGATTAGAGCATCAAATCTTTAAAGGATTCAACTCAAGTCTTTAGCTTAAAGTCCTATAAGCCTATCTTCAAAGATCATTTCGGGCAAATACCCATCCTTTAGTTTCTCTTACTGTTCTTAAGGCTGTAACGATTTGAGAATGGAACCCTTATGTAATTCAATCTCCTCCGCTAGCCCGTGCCGCCCGTCCTATAGGACTCTGCCTCCGGCTTCTTAACCCGGTTCACGTTGCTCTCCCACAGCATCACTGGTGCTGGTAAACAAAGCTGATAACACAATTTGGGGGTGAATGCCAATTTTTCTGCATAATTTGTTCTTATGCTAATTAGAAATTCTTCAAAGATAATTGAAGGCATTATAATCATAGTTGCCTTAAACGCCTAAAAATGACTTCGGCCAAAAAAAAAGGATGATTTTAGTTGGGTAACTATAACTCGCAAAACATTCAATGCTATCATCATCACAATAAGCCAAAGTTCACCCTTTTCCGTCCAAAAACCTTCAAAAGAAACTCTTCCTTCCATTGATTTATTCTTCTGCCTCATCGATGGTATCATGAACTTTGGATAATGTAAAACTGAGATCTATCAAAATTTTTGAAAATGAAGGAATGGAGCGAGGAGAAAGAGATTGTATTCTGTTTCTGAAATTTATTATAATTCACATCTAGAACATGGAAGGATTCGCAGGGATTTGGTTGATGAAAATCTAACCTTCAAAATTAGCACTACTTTTTTTCTAGTTTAGAAATTATTGCTAATGTTTTGTTTTACTTAATAAGATTTTGCGTAGGAAAAAAGTCACTACAATTTTCCATCATAAATGATTTTTCAGCATTTAATCGAATTTCTCCACTTTAATCAACATACTCGAGGTATTGCAGATACCAACAAGAATTTTAAGATCCCCCAAAGCAACAACAAAATGATCTCTTTTAAGGTATGCTCATGTTAGCATGTTCGATTTATCTCCATCATAATTCATAGAAATGTGAAGAGTTTAAGTCTTAAAATCAGATTTGAAATTGAGATTAATAAGGTTTCTGAATGAGGAATATGATAATAAATAATTGTGATTCTTGGGCTGTTATTTAGTGATTGACATTCAATTATACTTCCTTTTCTCATGAATTTTCCAGTGTTCTTATTGATATGTTTTGCAGTGCAACAACCTAAAGCAGCCGCCATTCTAGATTGGAGTAAATGGGCATCAATAAAACTTTTCTGGATCATTTTGCTTTTTAGATAGGAGTTTAGCCATTATATATGAAACTTATAGAAAGTTCCAAACGTGTACTAAGACCAGTATCATGGTAATTTAAGGTAATATAATGGTTGTTAGGTAATTATGCCCCAAACAACTGTGTAATTACTTACCTTACCTCTTACAGTTGTATGTACTATCACTTTAGTTTTGTTTTATTGTTATTTGGCCAAACAAAATTTAATTTTTCACCTAAACAGGATACAGTATACATTTACCAATCATTGAGAAAATAATTTGTAACGAGAAAAATAAATAGTTCCACTACGAACTCTATTTTGCATTCATTGATGAGAAAATAATTAGTAATAAGAAAAATAAATAGTGTCACTCCGAACTCTATTTTGCTACCTCTGATAATTAAGTAATTTGCCCATTTGAGATACGAGACAGGATGCACAATAAAGTTTAAAATTATTGATTTTTGAAAAAAAAAAAAGACTTAAAACACAGACGCCCCATGCATTGGCCCGGGACAAGTATCTAATTTTTTTTTAAAAAAAATACAAAATGATGAAATCACCCCTAGACCTAAAAACAAAGAGTATTACAAAACGCAGCTTAATTTTACCTCGCGCAACTTGTTGAATAGATTAAAATACCCTTACAAAACCGTGCAAAGTAAAATCAAGTTACACGAATTAAAATCAATAGCAATATTTTTTTTTTCTTTCAAATTTCAGTGTTCAAAATTCCAAGTTCGTTGTCTCCTTTCTATAAATCGAATAACAACACTGGAATCACACATGTAATCAAACAATAATCAAGAGGAGTTTCTTAGACAAAAATTCGCTGAATCCTTACATTGGATATTTATATGAGAGGCAATTTGAACCTTCTATTCTCCATAACACTTCACACACACAAAAAAATTAAATAAGAAAAAGATCGCACCAAAAGGAATAAACGATCACCCATTTCGCAAAAAAAAAAAAAAAAAAAAGAACGACTAGTACAGTGATTATTGATTAAACCAAAGCCAAACAAAAATTTTTTCCTAAAAGCTCATAACACCAAATCGCCCAATCACACAAAAAACGTAAAGTAACAATTACAAAAAAAAAGTAAAAAATTCGCCAAAAACCACCTCATTTTATTCTCTTTCACGTGTTTTTCGGTTTTTCGACATTAAAACAATCAACAATGGTGAATTTTTACTGTATATTGAAATAATATGTGTGAAGTTATAAAAAGAGATGGTCGTATAAAAGAACTTGGGAGTGTTTAGAATTCAGGGCCATTTTAATCTATTTACAAGCTGCGCGAAGTAAAATTAAGTAGCGATTAGCAATTCACAAAAATAAATGAAAAATAGTCTTCCATCATGATTTAACACCCAAAATAACCTAGAAAAAACGACTTGTCTTAGTTGATTTTTCTTTTTCTTTTGGTTTAAAATATTAAATTATTAATTTTCATGTTTACTTTAACCCGAAATTTTTTTCTTCATTTAATTTATTTTTTTTAAAAAAATTATAATCTAGAAGTTAGAATGCAAAAATTAATTGTAAAATTTAATAATTATACCAGTACCGACATATACCTTTGAAGTATAAGAAAAAAAATTGTAATTTTTTTAAAAAAATTAAAAAGTTTTTTAAAAAATACAAAATGACAAAAATACCCATAAACCCAAAAGTATATGAAAAATGGCTTTCCGTCACTACTTAACAACCAAAATTAACAGAATGACATTGGATGGATTTTTCGCTAAGTGTGGCGGCCTATTTTGGAAGTAAATTTGATTGATGACATGCGATTAAATTATCCAATAGTTAAATGAACTGTTTTGTGGTTCACTCCTTATTTTACTATAAGACATCATACTTTTAGCTATCAAAAGATACTTAATAATTAAATATTTTAATTTGTTAAGTTTTTGATCAATTAAATTGTCATGATATTACGTTATCAAACAGTCGTAAGGAGCCGTTAGCTATTCTTTAAAAAAAATACTGGAATTCTTAAAAATGAAAATGTAGAATGGAAAGAAAAAGAAAATTTTTTTAAAAAAAAGAAAAAAAGGGGAAGGAGAAGAGGTGCAACCCAAAACCTAAAATCCCTTGCTCAGATTACCTACGCCTCCTTTTCTGCTATAAACCTTTTCTTCTTCTCTCTTGACTGTCTTACACACAGTCACACACTGATTTCTTCATCAAAGTCCTTAACCCTCCCTATATTCTAGGGTTTATGGGTTTAAAACACGATCCAGCCGAGCCGATGCCGGTTGTCTACCGTTGCAGCTCAGTTGATTACCGACCGTCCCCTGTGGTGGCCCTAGCCACCAGCCCCGATGACTCCCAGGTCGCCGCCGCCCGTGAGGACGGAACTCTGGAGATTTGGCTTGTCTCACCGGGTTCCGTTGGCTGGCACTGTCAGCTAGTACGTTCAAATTCCTTCATTTTCATATGTTGTCAATTTGAACATCTAGTTTTATTGGTGACAGAAAAATTTTCTAACTCTTTTGAGGGTTTTTGGTGGGGTTCTGTGTTTTTTTTCCATCTTGGCCGCAGACTATTCACGGAAACCCCGTGTCAAGGGTGTCATCGTTGGTTTGGTGTGGGCTAGAGCCGGGAAATTCAAGCGGCGGTCGTTTGTTTTCTTCAAGTATTGATGGGTCTATCTCGGAGTGGGATCTTTTCGATTTAAGACAAAAGGTGTTGCTTTGAACTCTATTCTAGCATCTGGAACTTCTATTTCCAATGTTTATTAATTTGTATTCTTGTTGGTTGCAAAACCTTTATCTCTCTTTGAAGTAATTTTCAGGCTTAAGTAACATTGAAAATGTATGAAACCTTGTAAAATATCGCTTTGTTGTGGTTCTTATTATATTCCAGCTACAGTATTTATTTAACTCTGAATATACCCTCTACAACAGTGAGTTTTCAAACTCATTTATGCTCCTATCACTTTTACTCACTGAATGCATGATGTTTCTATTCAACTTAGGCATAATATTCAGATTATATCTGTTTGTACGTGTTGAAGAGATAAAACTTTGGAGCTTCTGTTTCTCATCATTTATCATAATGCTTAGGCCACTTGTTTTGGTTTGCAGACTGTAGTAGACTCCATTGGTGTCTCAATCTGGCAGATGGCAGCTGAGCCTTGTACTGGTGGTGATAAGCTTAATCAGAGAATGGATTCAGGCCCTTATGAAAATGGGCACAGCAACTACATGAACGGTGGTAGTGGTGACGATGGAAGCAGTATGAGCGAAGAGGACAATGAAGAAGACGATGATGATAATGATTCAGTTGAACTTCATGAGCATCTAGACGCAGGCAGTTCTCGTCTTGCAGTTGCTTGTGATGATGGTTGTGTGCGGCTCTACAATATAACGACCATGGGGGAACTAACTTATAGTAGATCATTGCCGAGGGTCAGTGGTGAGAAAGCTTCCCTCTTGAGACTTTCTTGTCAGAATTAATGATTTTATTATCAGAAAATTAATGTGCTTTTGATCTGGATAGGGCGCACTTTAAGTGTAACATGGAGCCCTGATGCCAGTAAAATATACTCGGGAAGTAGTGACGGGTATGTAATTTTCTTACTTGTGAGCTTTTCCAGTTGCTTTACTTTGATGTCATGTTTGAAAGCATCCTTGTCTTTTACAAACTTAGTTTTTATCCTTTGAGGCCCTTGGATGTTATGTATTTATTTTTTTATGCAGGTTCATTAGATGTTGGGATGGTAAATCAATGCATGAAATCTATAGGATAACAGTTGGTCTTGGAGGATTGGGTAGTGGACCTGAACTTTGTATATGGTCATTGCTTGCCCTCAGGTAAAAGCTAGTTCTTTGAGTTATTATTTTATCTGAATGGAAGAATGAATTGCTTTCATGCAAAAGCCAACTTCTAAAGGCTTTTGGTTGTACGTATTTCTCTTGCTTCAGATGTGGGACTCTGGTAAGTGCAGATAGTACAGGAAGCCTTCACTTCTGGGATAGCAGGCATGGAACTCTTCTGCAAACTCATACCTATCACAAAGGTGATGTGAACGCTTTAGCTGCAGCCCCTAGTCATAACAGAGTGTTCTCCGCTGGATCAGATGGTCAGGTAATGCACTTCTATGGAATTTATCCTTTAACAGTTGAATTTGGATCATTCTGGTGATAATTCCCCCCTTAGCCTTACCTACAGTTGGCCACTATCGTTTAGCAAGCACATGAGTTTTGTCCTTTTGGGCCCTTTTTAACTACATGGATAAATCAGTGTTTAGTTGCTCTGGGTAATGGAGGTTTTTGGAATCAAGGAATTGTTTCTCTTCTCGAAGGATATCAATAAGGGGGGTTAGGATCTAGGCTGAGCAATTTATTTGTTTACTGTAGCTTGTTCAGTTAATTATGGTAGAAATTGAGGCGTGCAATCATTCTAATTTGTCAACAGTACTCTTGGTACATTTTTATATTGGGTGTAAGGATCAGATACATCTTTGTAGACTTAGCCTAAGGAATGGCATGTGAACTTTTGTTATGCTAGTCCTGTCTCAATGTAAATTTGCAACATAGTATAAACAGACTATATAAAAGTGATTGGAGAGACCAGATTAATCTGCATTCTAGTTCCTCAAACAATGGAAATGAGGTCTTTAACTTTGTTATATCTATTGAAGGTGGGGAACGGCTTCTTTACCAAAAGCTCTGCATTTATGTTGATTCAGTTTCTGCAGCTTATGTTAATGCATACTTCTTCATATCCTCCCATTTTGAGGAGAGAGGCTGGTTGTTTAAAATGCTTGCAATTGACCAGGTTATACTTTACAAGCTCTCAACTGAAGTAGTTGAGTCTGGTGAACTGATGAAGAAATGGGTCTATGTGGGATACGTAAGAGCCCATACACATGATGTGAAGGCATTGGCAGTTGCAGTTCCCATAAGTCGAGAAGGTTGGTTTGTTTGTTTCATGCTTTTAGTGGCTACTGCTGTCAATCTATTTTTCATATATATTTTAATTCCTTTTTAATAGGACTTCTCACCCTTTGAATTTCAATCTTCCTTTTGATAGATGCATGTCCTGAGGAAATATTGAAGAGGCCTCGTGGTAGGAATAAGCCACAGGAATTTAGTTACCATAAATGGGCACATTTGGGAGTTCCAATGCTTATCTCGGCTGGCGATGACACTAAGCTTTTTGCATATTCTGCTAAGGAGTTTACCAAGTTCTCTCCTCATGATATTTCTCCTGCACCACAGAGATTGCCTATACAGCTTGTACACAATATCAAGTTCAATCAAACTCCGTTACTTTTGGTTCAGGGTTCTCAGTCATTAGATATACTTTCTGTTCGTTTGAAAAATGGTACAGTTTCTGAGCATGGATATGGAACCTGTGGTGGATCTGCAGCTACTGATTTAATAGCCCGAGTTAAGTGTACGGCTTCTCGAAAGATCATATGTAGTGCAATTGCATCTTCAGGAGCATTCTTTGCTTATTCAGACCATTCAAAACCTAGTTTGTTTGAATTAAAGAGAAATGAATCTGGAAAGCAAGCATGGACTGTCAACAAAAAGAAGCTTCCAGCAGATTTTCCTTACGCTCATTCTTTGCTTTTCAGTTCTGATTCGTCCCGATTGCTGATTGCTGGCCATGATAGGATGATATATGTAATTTTCTTTCCTTTTTCTTCCTCTTTTGGTTTATTTTTCAATGATTTTCATATTGTTGTCTTGCCTTATGCCTGTAGATTTCCTCCTCCTAGAGTTCTACTATCTTCTTATAACCACCCGTGTTAATTACACTTCGCCAATATTTGCTTTATAAGTTAGGGCACAAACTATGCAGCTCAAAGGAACACTCTTTAATTTGCTTGGTCTAAGTTCAGGATGTTTTCATATGTGAGGTCAGCTTTTTTCTGACGAAGAGCATGTATAGAAAGTAGCTTTGATGACAGATGTGGCAGAATACTTTAGTCACGGAGGTGGTAGCTTCTGAATGCTTTCAATAAGGTTTGCCTGGGGATTTTGTGTGGGTAGTTCCTGAAGAGGTTAATATGCCATTTGTATGGAGGGATTTTTATCAAGGATCTACTATTGTTTCTGGATTTTCCCCTTTTTTTCGAAGGGGGAGTTGGTCTAGGATTTTAGGCTTGTCAACTTGGGAGGGACCTATTTGGGTGTTTCCATTGACAAGGTTTTTCTAAGACCCTCGTAGGGGTGCCAAGCTTCTTACCATTTAAAGTGTTGGCCTTAATGGCAAATCTTGAAACAAACTTAAATGGAGTATATCTGTAATTAGTAAATGTATGGATGTGCACATCAAATTCAATTGTGGTTATACTTGCATCTCATGTAATCCTTTTGCTATCAAGAAATGGATTAAGGCAGTAGCTTTGCTTTTTGCAGTTTATCTTCTTGATTCTTCATCTTAATGCTTTCGTCTCAGTTTATTTGACTTGGAAACAAAACTTGGGGTTTCTCATGATAGGAATTCTTGTATATGCTCTGCAGGTTGTGGATGTTCTGAGTTTAGAGCTTAAACATATCTTTATACCTCATCGTAAAGAAAACGAGGAAGGATTGCCTCCCAGTGAACCTCCCATCACTAAAATGTTTGCAAGTTCTGATGGGCAGTGGTTAGCAGCTGTTAATTGCTTTGGAGATGTGTATATATTCAATTTGGAGCTTCAAAGGTGAGTAAAATTTGATACATGCCTGTTTCTAGTGTTCAAACATGCTAATGTGTGACAAGTGGACTTTTAAGATGGAGATTTTTTTTAATCTGGATGTATCTGAGAAATCATGCGATTTGTGTTTTTTTTTTTTCTGGTCTATTTGTTATTGTATATGTTTTGTTGGAAGAATTTAGATGGCCTTGTCATGTGATTATTGTCCAAGGTTATCCGGTATATATTTTGCAATTGCTGCCTCTGATTATGTAAGAAGTTCTATACAGTATTTGTTGATATATGTTTTGCTGGCAGGCAACACTGGTTTATTGCAAGATTGGATGGTGCCTCTGTTACAGCTGGTGGTTTTACACCACGGAACAACAATGTGCTCATACTTTCAACTTCGTCAAACCAAGTTTATGCGTTTGATGTTGAAGCCAAGCAGTTGGGTGAATGGTCTAGGAAACATACCTTCTCTCTACCTAGGAGGTACCAAGAATTTCCTGGGGAAGTCTTTGGATTATCTTTTACGCCCACTGCTAGTGCATCATCAGTGGTAGTTTACAGTCCCAGGTATGGCCGTAGAATCTTATGCTTGTTTTTCATTTCTAGTTCCTGTGTTCTGGAATCCACTCTAGGCATTTTGAATACTCATGCATTGGAAGTTAAAAAAAATCCTTGAATAAAACATGCCTGAGGATGATTGTTGTTATTTTCCTGACTCTTAATTTATTGTGTTTAGGGCAATGTGCTTGATTGACTTTGTTATGCCGGTGGAGAAGGATGATTTGCCAAATTTGCAGGAGGTATTGAAGATGTTTCCAAATGGTACATTACGAAAGAGAAAGTTAGAAACTAATAAAAAGAATTTTGATTTTTGTAGTTTTAAAGATCCTGTTTTATTTGTTGGACATATCTCAAAAAATTCTGTCTTGGTCATAGACAAGCCATGGATCCAGGTTGTGAAAACATTTGATGCTCAACCCGTCCATAGACATATTTATGGAACATAACTGCGATATAGGCCTAGTATTTTCTTTTCTTATGTGGTTCCTGGACCCAGAGGAAGATTACAGCTTAGCTGAGGTTTTGCTGCATGTTTTGTAGTGTATCCCCAAAATCAGTTTTGTATCAAGAGCAATTCTTTTTTACATTATTCAAGTTCCCTTGTTGCTGTTACTTGCTTTACTTTCAGTCAGGTAGTGTGTGAATCAGATTGATACATATTGGTTGAAGACTATCGAATGTTATAGATGAATTTGTGCAAAAATGAGAAAGATTCTCGAAGCCCGGACAGTAAGAGAAATACTGAATGGAATGAAATTTTGGCAATGACAAAGATTCAAGTACATCATGGTGACCGGTTTTTCACAGTTTGTTCACCATAAGAAAGATTGGCCATTTTTCTTGTAAAGAAAGAGGCCATTTTTAGTGGATACATTTATTTATTTGTGGAAACACCCTTGACATTTTACAAGTTACAACTATCACCTCAATCAACAAGTTTTTGAAAGGACTGTTTGTTGTTTTACCTTTGTCAAAATGTGTGATTAATGTATATGGATGTATCCCCCTTGTTTTATTGTTTGACCATAAGTTTCGATTCTTGCTTTCAATCATTCGGTTATGTAGTAGCAGAAACAAGCAGGCACTCTGATGGGAAATAAAGCTCAAGGAAAGAAACAAATACAAGTTGAGAGAAGCAATTATTATTACATAACTACACACTAATAAACTTAATGATTGAGACGTAATGCATGTATTATCATTTAGATACTTCCCCCCGCCCTGAAACAAGTCTTGTTAGTTGTTATTAGGCTGGGAAAACATACATGGCTCGTATTTTGGGACGATGTGGATGGAGTAATTAGTACAAAATCAACCGACTTTACTACATGGGACGATGTGGGATGGAGTAATTAGTACAAAATCAACCGACTTTACTACAGGGAAAAACTATTTTGTGATGACTTATAGCTTTAGAGACGCGTGGAAGGGTTTGTTATGAAGAAGAATCAAAGGTAGAATAGCAGTCTAGCACATGAAGGGGGTCCATTGTCCAATTCCGTTTTGCATCTTTTAGGACCAAGCATTGGTACTATCCCACAGCTCTTCCTTTCCGTTACAATTTTAAGTGTGACAGCCAGAGTTTGCTGTCAATGTTTTCTAGTTTCCTTTAAATCCCATGGCCCTTGAAAAGCAGTAAACTGATATTGTTACAGGGTCAGTAAGCCGTAATTACACATGTCATTTTCCTTTTGGCTCACCTGTGATGGCTTTCTGTTCAATGTTATAGCAGTGGATAATGTGGACTTTGATGATTCATTTTCTAACCATTTAGGTTCATATAATAACTTCTTCTTAAATGACATGTTGTGTAATAAAATATCAATGTGTGTGTGTGTGTGTGTGGGGGGGTGTGGGAGGGGTATTATAATGCTAACATGGAAATCTCTCACTTATTGATCCCAATGAGATTCCTGAAACTGCAGACCGGCGCTTAATGAGTTGCGGGGCTCTAAGTACCTTATTAAATCTTGGTTTTTTTTTTTTTTTGCATGTAAAGTGTTGTATAATGTGGATTAACATGATCCTTATCCTTTTCGCCGCCTGTGTTCATATGCTGTTTAAGATTTAAAAAATCTTTCGCCTTTTCAATTTAGGCCGGCATCCGGCAGGATATCTGAGGCTGGCTAGACATGTATGAAAAAGATTAACAAAATATTAAAAGACGACTTATATGAACAAGTTTTTGGCTTTCATCCTTTTGGTATATTTTTGGTTTAAGCCATATTCATCTCTCTTTCCTAGTGTCTGCCTTTTGTGTGTGTACAATGTAATTGCACGTGTGCTCATGGACGACTTATAATTCAATAATTGATCCCACAGAGATGAATAATTGATTCATCTGTGATATCAATCAGGAAGCTATGGCCGCAAAGCTCAAATTATGTAGGCATAATGTGGACAAAGATTTCTGTCAGAAAAGAAAGATGGTTTTGACTTTTGCATGGAAAGAAAAACAAAATTAAATAAAAATCATTACTTTATACCCTCATGTGCATAATTTTACTTCCATTTGTGATGATTTTTTTACAGGCTCAATGCTATGAAGCTTTCTTTCTTCTTCTTTTTTTTTTCTTTTCTTTTTTTACTGGTGATTACCTTGGTTGATCATGCGTTTGATTGCGAAAAGCAAGGGTAAGGTTACGAGAATGCGTACTCCCCCATACCCTTACTAATCAGGAAGTTTTTGGGCACCAGAGATTGATTATGATTATGATAGGAGTATATGATTAACCGCATTATTGATGTACCATATGGAGGGAGGATTTTCAGGTAGCAGGACATAGTATTATAGCTGGGAGTACTCGTCTTTTTCCATGAATAAGTATTATTCTCCAAGATTTGAGTTCACTCTAAAGGATGGCAAGATCTTGAATTAAAGACATTTTGGAAGTAACCCTCATTACAACAACATTCAATAATTGTACCATTTTGGCAAATATATGGTCATATATGTAAGTGTGTGTAGCTGTCAAAAAGAAAGGGTGGGGTTCTGTTTCTGGTCCGTTTTCGTGCTGGAAAAAAAATAAAAATTTGCATGTAAGAGAATTGAGTGAATCAAGTTTTTATTTTTTTTCATCATAGATGTTGTCTTCTTTGAGTTTGGTGGGTGGAGATTCTCATCTTCTTACCAAATTTACACATTTCATTGTAACCTCATTCAGTTTTTTCATAGGCTGGCAATCCTCAAAATACAAATAGAGGGAATGTGGCTCACTTTTCAGCCTTAAGCTAAGTTTCATGGCCCCCCCCTTCAATGGCCCTTTTTTTCCTCCTCACTTATGTTGTTTGTACTTTTATGTGTTTTGTTACACAGCTAAGAGTCTCTAATTATCTGCATGTGAGGCAGTAATAATGTGTAACCCCTTGTTCAGTGTTTTGTGTTCTTCACTGTTATTGTATCAGCAAAAAATGTTGTTTATTTCAAAGAAATGCGATTCCTTTAATGTGAATTTACAATGGAAAGAACTACACTAATCAACAGGAATTTTGCAGTGAAAGTTGCTCTCAAAATGAAGCAGTTTTGCTGCAGTCCATGATGGCTGAAACTAGTTTGGTTTGGGAGTGTAGTGAAAGGTCAAAGGGAGGAGGTAAATACAATGAAACTATTCACACCAAAAAAAAAAAATGCCTTTTTTTTATGGACATTTTCTGTTCTGAGGTTGTTTCCTAATGCATAGACAGGACGAAATGACTAGTAAGAAAAAGTAAGTAAAAGAAAGGTAAAATACAAGATCTTCAGATATCTCTTGTTTTTTCTCTTTGTTGTGTGTTTTTTTTTTAAAGCTTTTGCATGATGAGCAAATATTTTCCATCCCAGGTAAAATATTGCTGCATTGGCCATAATACGTATGTGCCCTTGTTCCATGCCTCTTTGCCACTTGTCTTCCCTGCAAATTCCCTGTTAGGTAAAACAGAGGAGAAAGATTTAAAAAACAGTACAGCAAATGGCCAGAAAAACAATCAAAAAGTGCAGAAGAGAAGAGAACTAACTTGATGTTTTAATTCAGCTTTTCTAGACAATTCAAGACTTGAAGAATCCAAAGTGCTTCTTCAGTCCAGATTTACCCTAAATAAACAAAAAATCAAACTTCTTGTTAGTTTCCAAGGTTTTGAAATATCTTTTGGTAGGATTTCATCAGTTGGGTATGTTTCAAGAGAGCTCAGATAAGTAAAGTACCTTCTTGCAATTTGTTGCAGAGAAGCCTTGGCCTTGAGACAAGCCGGAATCACGTGCTACAAAATACTTGTCATTGTTATGAACAGCATTGTTCTCAAAGAAGAGAGCCCTTTGAGGAGCCTAAAACATTAGCATTGCAAAATTCATTGACATTGTTCTGAAACTAGTGATAAAAGGACACTTAATTTGAATGCGCCTAATCGAAAAACTATAGAGATGGTAAATATTATCTTAATTTCATTGAGAGCTTACCTTAGAATAGCTTAAGACATGGGAGCTAGCAGTATCATCAAGGTGGTGGTAACTTGGCTGATTTCTCTTCTTCTCTTTTACTTTCATTCTGTTTTTGCTCCTTTTGGATTCGGAAATTGTCATGGTGCTGTTATATCTGGTTTCTTCAGAACTGTCTTCATCATGGTGGAAATGTGGAGGTCCTGAGGATGCATCGGACAACATCGACAAATCTTCTTCATCCTCATCCACATAATTAGGCCCTTTGCTTTGAAAATCATTATCATATTCCATACTTCTGTTCCATTGAACATTAGAACTTGAAAATGGATCCAAATACATGGTCCATCCTGATGCACATCCACTGCTATATTCAGAAGTTGATAAATCCATGATAATAAACTTTATTATGACGGAGGAGAAGAACAAGATGAAAGATTTCAAGAGGGGTTTTTCAATTTTTGCTGCTCACTCTTTGTTGGCTCAATATATATAAGGAGTGTAAAAAATGTGACAGACTTAAGAGTGACATTGAACCAAACTAACCTATAAGTCATATACTCTTGAGTCTGAGTTATAGACCTTATTTTTGTCCTATGCTATACAACTTTCTGCTTTATTTATTTTATCTGATTTTGTGGAGAATCAAATTGCCAGTTGGCTTGTCATTTTGTTTTGGTGAGGTGGGGAAGGAATAAGAGCAAGCTGATGGATTGACCTTTGACACTTTGATGGTGGTGAAATTATGTAATAATAATAGTGACTATGGAAAGGTTTACATCTTTTTCTTCTCTTTTCTTTTTGGTATCCTTTTTTCGCAGCCCACAAGGTCACAACTACAACATCTTTCGTGTTTTCGGGAAAAGGTTTGTGATGCAGCACCACATTTGCCAGCACAATCACCTTTTTTGGATCAGTTTTCATACCTTCATCAGTTCCATTAGAACTTATGTAACATCCAGCTTTATACAGTTTTGATATCAAACATTCATCAATCATCAATGATTCTAGGATTTTGACTCGAAAGTCGAAACTAATGAAGGAACTTCGATCAATTCTTATATTCTGATTGTTTTCTGCAAGATTAACTGCACCAGATGCCTATCTTTGAAGGGCTTACATTACTTTGTTCTTCTCTGCAGTTTTTAACATTGTTTTATGCCATCTGCTGTCATACATTTAGGTGAGACACTCAGAATGCAGTTATTTCTGCAACATTATTTTGTACCTTTTAGGACCAATGGAATGTCAGTAAGACAGTAAAAAAAAGCAATGATAGAAAAAAGATAGATGGAAGAAGAACAATCAAGTCACCAATCCGAAAGTTGTAAAATCTAGAAAAGATTTGAGTTGTCTACTACTCCCTTTCTGTCCACAACAACAAACTGAACAATCATTACGGGACGGAGGGAGAAGATACATCGTTCGGATTTCAGAATATAACTAACAAACATTTTGCCTTTTCACAATACTCAACAACTTAAACCTTTTCTGAGTCATAAGTTGATGGAAATGAATACAGCTCACACTGCATTGTCATCACTCATCATAGTAGATTGAGAAATACCAAAAAAGAAGAACAAAAAAAAAGTGAAAAAAGTGCTGAACATTTGTTTGGCAGCATTATGAGACAAGAAGAAAATTATAAGATCACGAAAAAATAATACTTATATCATTCATATCATTGAGGCAGAAATTAGGGAATGCCACTCTCTTCATTTTTATTTTTATTATTTTTTTTCCCTCAATGCTTCATATATATGGAGCCATGGAGGCGTTTTAGTTGTAGGGTACCCTAGTGACTCAGCTGGTCCCAGACCTTAATTCCAAATGCACATGCCCTTTTGCTGGCTTTGTGTTGTTGTTGTATTGCTCAAAAACTGAAAGTGCTATTCCCATGATTAATTAATATTCGCGAAAAAAATTCACCGACCATGCGATTAAGTTTTTATCTCATTATTTGAATTTGACTATATGAATCATATGTCGTCACTGTACATCCAATGCTCAAATCGTTGTCATGAGTAAACATACCACAAATCAGAAGAATCAAAGTTTCACAGTAGTCCAAACTAAGCAGTGAAGAAAGTCAACTATGAATGGGGGGATCACTGCAATCTGTAGTGAAAAGTGTTCAATGTTCACTGCTGCAAGGCTACAAAGATGATATAGACCGGCAAGTAGGAACTAGCAAAAAGGTCCAACTTCCATTGGACTTCATCAGTTCATCTTGCAAAGTCGCAATATGGGCTGTTATTATTTAAGCTTTTTCTTCATTTCATCGTGGTCCCTTGTGCATGCATAATGGGTAATGTTGAATTTAAATTTGACCCTTTTTTTCCGATTAAAAAAAATGAGATAAATGTTAAAATTATTACTATACAACTGCATAGCGGGAATGAATCACCTTATAATAAACTTGTTAAGATTGCGACCTCTCTCATTGTACAAAAAAAAAAAAAAAAACTCTCATTAAGCCGGATAGTAACTACATAGGTGGAATGAGTCAACTTATACGATCCAAAAAATCTACACAAAATTACCTAGGGGCCCTTTTCTTTAATCAAACTTCAAAGGAGTTTTCTTATCTCAACAAAAATATTAATGAATAATATCCTTCTCTCATTCAATGATCAAAGAGTCGAGAGCACGAATGAAAAATCCAAGTGACCATATCATTTAGGTCAAATCTCCATCCATGCCTTTTTCATTAGTTTATTGCATCAGAATGGCAAATGTCCCTTTTGCAAATTAATGTGGCTAGCTTCTAGCTTCCACATTATTCTTAGCTTGAGATTTTAGATGTTTCCGCTGCTTTTGAAAACAAATTCACAGGACCACTTTCTTTTCTTTTTTTTTTTTTTTTTTTTGGTATGATGAATATCTTTCTTTCGGATAGGGTCGAGAAACAGACCCAGTTACTGCACATTTACAACTACACAGGGTCTATTCCTTGGGGAACTTTTAACCTCTAAAATGAACGCTTAAAACACAAATTACGGTAATGACGGAATTTTAACCTTTTAAGAGCGATGACTGGGGAATGAAATATGATATGGAAGTGGTTGGTAATCAATAATGGAGCCGGGCATATGGAGGGACTAATTGATCTTCTTATCAATGTGTGAGTGAGTGGACCTAACCCTCTTTGTATTTGTAAAGAAAGGACTAACCCGTTGTGTAAGGTGACGGCCAATTCTAGTGACCCGTTCCGTTATTAGCCATACAAGATGAAAAGAAACGTTCATTCAAGTTGTGACCATATGCCAAAATTGTCAATATCAGGCTTATGAAGTTATGACACAACCATCCAAAACACTTCCCGTTTACTAGCCAGCTCATATAGCTCATGAAAGTGATTAATTAACGAGTACATAATAAACAAAGTAAATTTTTAGAATGACGATTAAAATGGTTTGTTCGCAATATTTAAATACTAAATAGTTATAAGATAGTAAAATTTAATTTGCAGTATACTTATACTAGCTGGTTTTAGTACTTCCCAATCGCACTGAAAAATCTCCCAAACATGCTTTTAACAGTTCTTCTATGAATTACTGCTAACATGTCCCACTGAATAATACTCCCTCGTTTTGAAATTATCATCCAGTTTGTATTTTTAATTTTAATACAATTTGAACTAAAAACGAAAATTTAAACTGGACAATAATTTCGGAACAGACGGAGGATTGATTGTCTACCTCTTCGATCAGTTTCTCCACGCCAAGAATGCCATGTAGGCTTTACATTTTGAAATAACCCCCAAGTGCTAAGGTAAAAAAGAGAATACATTCTTGAGGGCGATGCATGGTTTTCAAAGGAATCCCTAGTTGGGATCATTCCATTTATGGCCTTTTTCTACGTTGTCATTCGACTGAAATTGATGAACAAGCAGCAAATAGTTACTCCACGAGGTATAGTAAATTACAATCGAAATCTTTAATGAAAGGGAAGAAAATGAGACCTGAAACAGTAGATCTTCTGGCGGCTTTTTATATTTATTATTATTACATGACTCAAAGTCTAAAAATAAAAAAGAACATTTATTTTATACGCTACTTGCAGTATTTTTATAAACTGTAGTTGACGTTTTTATTTTATTTTATTCTAAATTTTGTGAAATGCAATTTAGAAGAATACAATAAATGGAGTAAAATGTGTGATTAGTATATATAGTCAAAAACTCACGTGGACGTTGGACCAGCAATTAAATTCGTAATTCGTAAGGCGCCCGCACGTGCGCTGTTTGAAAGCCATGTGCCCAACAATTATTTCCCTCGATATTTCTTTATCAAATAAAGAAAAAACATTTAACCCATACAATATAATAATTAATATAGAAAGAAAGCGTATAAGAATAAGATCAAACTATCTAGAACTACAATTAGAATTGTCATTGGTATATGCATCAGTAATTAAAACTTAATGCAAAAATTGTACATTTGAAATAAACTTATTTAACTCGAACTCAACATTAATTTCCACATTTCCCTTGACCCAAAAATTTAATTAAAAAAAGAAAAAACATTAGGATTTCTTTATTTTATTTTTTAGAAAAAAGATGTAGAATCACTTGGTAAACACATTTGCACAAACATAAATTACATGAATATTTCCACAAAGCCAAACCAAAAAAAAAAAGCTCCAAGATTTCGGCTCTTTTCCTGGCAAAAAAAAGAAAGAAAAAGACACGAATTAAAGGATGTTGAAGAAGCAGAAACTAAAGCAACTTATGATTGGAATTTTAACAATCATTGTGCATGAGTTGTATGATTATAACCCATTTAAGTGCCAAAGATGCAATGAATTAAAGTGTCATCGACATAAAATAATTGTGAGAGGTATATAATCATGTAATGTAGAGTTAGATTTAAATCAAAAAGGAGGAAGAGAATAATCACTTAAATTAGTGATTGAACTTTCGGTGACTTTGCATGATTGACTTAATTTGGTGAATCTACTGAAAATCTTGTTTTATACTTTGGGAGTATGTATCTAGAATTTTATACGCTCATAAAATAAAAGTAGAAATTGGAAATTAGTCGCATACTATAAAAGAAAAACTGGTAATGTACGATGGAAGTTGGTTAGTAACATGTTTTTCGTTATAATTCGTTCACTTTGTATAAATAATCCAATCTGTAGTTTAATAAAATGGAACAATAGATTATTATTGGTACGAGACAGAAGGAATATCTTATAAGTAATTTGTATAGACAAACAAAATTCTAATTATAGGGAGAATTGTGATACCTAGCTATTTCCTTATCGGCCGTTCTTTCTAATTATAGCTAATATCAAACAGTGATTCCTGAAAACCACTCAAAAGTGATAAAACCGAAACTGTTTATAACAGGAAGTTGGGAAAATCTGGCTTTGATATCTGTGATTTATATAGTAATACCGAGACACAGCAATATCTGCTTTCTTAGCTCAGTTGGTTAGAGCACCCGTTTAGTAAGCGGGAGGTCTTGAGTTCGACTCTCAAAGAAAGCAATTTTCTCTTTTTACTTTTGCTTTCTTTTTCTCCTTTTTAAACATCGGTGCCTGGATTAGATAGCCTGTAGAACTCAGACGAAGAAAGCGAAACGTGCTTCCTTTTTTTTATAACGGTCGCAAGAAGGAGAAGAAGAAGAAGAACATCTCACAAGTCCTTCTATCATCACCAATTGAGAGTTGTCGGCAGACAATGAGATTGGAAGGAGTGGCCCTTTTAAAAGTTTGTAGTATGGAAGAGAAGAGAGAATGAAAGGGTGCTCAAGAAAAATGAGTTGTCACTTGTCTTTGTGCCAATTATAACAATCCATTCAACTCCCCCACGTACTGGATGATTGCGCTTCTGTCTTGATTCTTCCATTCCAGCTTCCAGGGACTTCGCATTTATTGATGAATGATTTTTTAGCCTATACCAAAATCCCCCATCTTCCTTTTTTGCAAGTGTCTTCTTGGGTTGCATTTTGGAATCCTCAGCAATTGGGCTTCATTGAGAAATTTTGTGAAAAGTTCCGGTTTATAGATATAGATTATGGGCCTCTTGGCTTTCACATCTACCAAACAATTTCTAAAAAGTCGATCACGAAGGTTCGAATCTCGCTATGACCGTGGAACAACCTTAAATCCTTTGGCCAGCTTTTTCACCCATCGAAGTACGAACCATGAGCGAAGAGGATTAGTCATTATTCCCGACGGTGAATCCCCTGCAATATGCAAAAAAAAAAAAAAAAACAAAAACAAAAAGTCGATTGCGAGAAGTCAGGTCTCACGTGTTAAACAAATACTACATCCGTCCCAAAAAAATAGTTTATATTGAGTTTTTAAATTTGTACTAAAAATAATACAAAACTAAAAACTCAATGTGGACTAGTTTTGTGGGAGGGAGAGAGTATTATATTAAACTTATAGGAAATTAGTGAGCTCTAAATCATATAACAAACCTGGTGGTGAAGATCAATTACTCCCTTCGTACCAAAATTATTGTCCAATTAGATTTTTAATTTTAGTTCAAATTGTATTAAAAAATGAGAAGATAAACTGGACAATAATTTTAGGAGAGAGGGAGTATATCATTTGTTACCTAAGACTTCACATGAACCAGCAATGTCATTTGTTCTCTAACCACACCCAGGGTTTCTAAAAGTCATGTATAGCCCAAATGTTTATCATCGTGAAACTACTATGTAGTTTGGCTCTTTGAAATACATGTTTCAAATGGACCAATCACTTCTCTACGATTTCTTTTCCTTTTTTTCTCTTTTCTGGTTTCTGGTTGTCTGCTTAATGTTTTTTTTTTTTTTTTTTTTTTCATTTGTAAAGATTCAAGGGCACTGTTGTCTAGTGAAAGCAGAAAACATCCACTTACTAGGAATACCACAATGGGTCCAATTTCCCCGTAAAAGATCAAATATTCTTCATTTGACTCTGACCAGACACTACTATAATATATGTTACATTATTCAGCCGGAAGATATTCCCAGGAGCCAGAAACGGGTCGTCTTCGGGATCAGCAGTGTTTTATACAATTAATACTCAACCCAAATCAAAACCGGCCCTCATATTTGTTGTTCTCGTCTTGAATTATTTGTCTTATTAGTAGTATGTTTCCAGTTAGACATTTTGCACTCCGCTTAGTTGACATCGAGATGTTGACATTTGGCATTTCTGTCCATCTTCTTCCTTTCCATTGTATCCAAGGAAGGCCATCCAGGACGTCCTAATAATGCATAACAAATAATTCGTATTTCGTATCCAACCATTGGATGTTATCAAGTTTCGTATATTTTATACAAGCTTTTAACGTGACATTGTTGTGAATTGTGATAGCTATTTGGTATCTGATACTGTAAACGTATCATTTTTCTCTCAAAATCGAGTCGTATTATATTACAAATGCCACATTAACTAGTATATTATTACTTCCTGATACAAAGTCTTTATTTTTCTCTTACAAACAACATTTTTTATTTTTTGTTTTTCTCTCTGCATTTGTTTGGGCTCAACAATGGAAGTTGTGGCAGGGGATGATCCAACTCTTTCCAAATTAGTATCAGCTTGCCATGATCTAAAGAAACTTGTTCACACCTCAATCAGCGTGGAGGCTAGCTTAGATGATATGGACAGAAAGTTGGCCATGATGCTTGAATCTCTAAGTATGGCCTCAAAGAAAATTGCTCCTCTGCAAACACTTTCTATTGTTAACAAAGCTCTTGACACCAGAATCAACCGGGCGATTTCTCCGGCGCTTGCCCTTCTCGAAAGCTTCAAACTTTCCGAATCCCTCCAGCGGAGACTTCTTGAACTTGCCGCAAAACTGTGCAATGAAAAAGTACACGAAAGGAGGCTGAAGAAATTGATCAAGTATGTGGATTGTGTGGATCAGTTAAACGAAGCCATCAGTGCGATCGGCGAAGAATGTGAGCCCGCGATTCAGAAGCTGCAGGAAGTGGTGGAGTTTTTGAGCCGGACAAAGGCCAGTGATCAGGACAGGAATGAAAGGCTCAGGGAAACTTTGATCACTTTGAAAGCCCTTTATGAAACTGAGGTTGATGCCATGAAATTTGACGGCTTGCTTGATGAGGCTTTACTGAACTTGCAAGATGAATTTGAGAGCCTGTTGCTTCTGCTCAGGCATGAGAACATTGGAGAAGTCGTCAAGAACGATGATTTGCAGGAGATTATGCCTACAGAGTTAGGCACTGAGTTGGAAGTTGAAGTTCTAAGGCGAATTTCGAGCACCCTCGCTAACAATGATTGTGTTGATATATGCATCGATATTTATGTTAAGGTAAGATGATCCATTGTTGTTCTGAGATTAGTTTGCCTGTTTATGTTGTTAGAAACAGATTAACCTTATGGTTCTTTTATAGTACTCCTTCTGTCTCAAAATTATTGTCCAGTTTGGCAGTTTGGATTTTCATTTTTAGTTCAATTTGTACTAAAAATGAAAACTCAAACTGGACAATATTTTGGGGACGGAGGAAGTACCTTTTTATTCATTGAATTGAGTTGGACTAAAACTTACTAAGTTTAATAGTTTAGTAAAGGGGCTATCTTTTTACATTATGTAAAGCCTGTGACGATGTGCTGTTTATAAATTTTTTACAGTCTAGGTACAAAAGATCAGCAAAAGCACTGATGAGACTGAATCCTGATTACTTAAGGACTTACAATCCAGAAGAAATTGATGAAATGGAATGGGAGAATCTAGAGACAGCAATATCCTTATGGATTGAGCACTTTGAGCTTGCTGTGAAATCTGTTCTTGTATCAGAAAAAATTCTTTGTCATCAGGTACTAGGAAACGTTATGGATGGTGTGATATGGCCCGAATGTTTCACTAAGATTTCCGACAAGATCATGGCGGTTTTCTTCCGATTTGGCGAGGGGGTTGCGAGGAGCAACAAAGAGCCACAGAAACTCTTCAAGCTCCTAGACATGTTTGATTCTTTAGAGAATCTGAAGCCAACATTCACAGAAACATTCGAAGGTGAAGCTGGTGCTGATATCTGTTCAAGGTTTCGCGAACTCGAAAAGCTCTTAGTTCACGCTTCGACCAAAGTGTTCTGGGAATTTGGCCTTAAGATTGAAGGAAATCAAGACGGCCTGCCTCCACCCCAAGATGGCTCGGTACCAAAATTAGTTCGATATGCAATCAACTACCTCAAGTACTTGGCATCTGAAAGCTACAGCAAATCCATGGCTCAGGTTTTCAGAATTGAGCAATCCTGGAAAGCTGGAATTCTGTCAAAACCCGAATCAGATGAAGGGTTACTCAAGGACGCAATCTCCAATGTGATGGAAGCAATCCGGAGGAATATCGAAACCAAAAAAGCCCGGTACAAAGATAAATCACTCTGCAACATTTTTGTGATGAACACATACTGGTACATTTACATGAGAACCCGAGGCACAGAGCTGGGAAAACTCCTGGGAGAGCAATACATGAAAAAACAGTTCAAAATTGTTGCAGAAGAATCAGCGTATTTGTACCAAAAGCAAGCTTGGGGAACCATTGTTAGACTACTTGATGATGTAGAAGAAGAACTGGACAGAGGAAACAGAGACGGCGCCGGCGCGATCGCTCGGGGGAAACTGGAGGCATTCATGAAAGCATTTGATGAGATGTTGAAGAAGCATGGGAGTTTTTACAGCATCCCGGATCCTGACTTGAGAGATCAAATCAGGGAGGCAACAGTAAGGCTTGTTGTGCCGGCTTATGAAGAGTTCTTGAAGGCTCATTCCTCTGTTTTACAAGCTAAATCATACATGTCTTGTCAGTCAGTCGAAGGATTGTTGGGACAGATATTTGATGGTGGAAATCGGCAAAATGGGTATGGGAAATCATCGTCTTTCGGAAGGAATCATGATCAAAGAGATTCTGCGGATACAAGGAGAAGATCTTTTTCGCTGGAGAAATCTCGGGAGAGGAAAGGTAATCACAGAAGAGCAAGCTCAAATATCAGCCAATCGTGATGGTTGTTTTGTCACGTATCATCTGTTCTGGTTTCCATCGAATTCCTTGGAAGATGCCAAATGATTTATTGCGGGTTCAGTGATTTTTGTTTTGGATGCATTTGTTTGTAAATTAATTTTATTCTACATTGGAGAAGTCTGAGATGTTTTATCAAATTCCTTTGAAGGTGCCAAATAGTTTACGAGACAATTAAATATTCATTCCATCTCAAAATTTAAAAAAAAAAAATTACATTGGAAAAGTATTGTTTTACTTCACTTTTTAAAAATTTTGATCATATCAATCAAGTTACAAATATTACTAATAATTATCAGAAGAATTTCAATTGTGCTCCCATTTACCTTTTTCCGAGTTTCAACTCAAAATAATGGTTTGCTCTTCTTTTTTTTTTTTATTTTTTTTTTGGCCTAGTATATTTTCGGCAATAGTAACTAATCAAATTAATCATTTCAACTATGAAAAAATTTAAATCATTTCAATACATTAAATTTTAATTTTTTTTATAAAACTAGACTATTTTTGGGGAAAAAATTCTTTACGAAATTAATTAATTTATGGGACGAATGAGTACTCATTATCATAAACTAGTATTTAACCCGCACGTTGTGCGGTGATATTAGTTCTAAAATAAAAGTTACATGAAAATATGCACAATTTAATTACTAAGTACGAGATCTTCCATGTATTAAAGTAGAAAATAATTTATATTATGAAGATTAATACTTTTATGATGACCACTAATGTTGATTAGATATTCTTTGGGTGAACTATTTTTTAAAGCCCGGAGTTTTGGTAATATACCCCTTGGCCAGGAGTTAAACATTAAAATAACTAATATTACCATAGTTTACATGCACTTTATTTGCTTTTATTTATTTGGTTTGTTTTTCTTTGTTTGACCACTAAAAATGAAAATTAGTAAATCTTTTATTTTTATATTCAAACAAAGAGTGACCCTTTGAATTCAATTTCCTTAAAGTGAAAGCTATTAAGATTTTTTTTTATTTTTTTTATTTTTTTGAAGAATCATGTAGAGAAATCATCCACAAAAAAATCATCACCCGAGCATTATTTAGTTTCATTGGAAAAAATATCAGTGATTATTATAAAACACATGATTCATCAAAACTACCAAAAAAAAAAAAAATTTAAAAATTGGTAATAAGATTTCTTTGCAACAAAATAAAGCCATCACAACTAAATTCAGGAAGAGTAATTAAGTCTATCACAAACTAATCCAGCAAGGGTAATTTAAATAATATATGATTAGTTTTATAGGAAATGCTCAAATTGTTATGAATAAATGGCTCAATTTTTTCACAGCTTGACAAAAGTATGACCTTGTAGTTCATTTTGTCCCTATACCATCGATCATGTTTGAAATAGGCAAATTTTTTTGTTGGGCGAACAAAACAAAGTTCGTACTTCGTAGTTGTTGCACAGACGGGATCACCCCGAAAACTTTGTATGTGATTTCTTTAATTTTTCTATTTTTTTGTAATTTAGTAGTAAAGATGCAGGTCAAAGTTTTTACTGTTTTTCTAAACTTACTTTATAATGGATAATAACTCAATCCGCACTTATTTTGAAAATATGTTATGTAATTAATGTTTATCCTTTCACATTAGCTGTGTGGTAGTTATTAAGGTAATGATAGGCATCATATTGTTGTGTAAGAGACTACCAATGCATTAACTAAATCAATTTAGACTGTTTTCTGAAATTAAATAAAAATCTTACCTGTACATTTTTGCTTTTTAGTTTCTTTGTGTACTCTCTTCATTTAAGGCTAATTATATATGTACTTTGTTATTCGTTTCCATTAGCATAACGAATCCAATTTAATTTACTTAATAAAAGATAATTACGTATTCATCATACCCCTGCATTTTTCAAAATGTAACTGCATCAGAAGGAAAGACTTTCAATCCCTCAATAACAATCATTCCTGGGCAATGACTATGTAATGGACTTTTGAGATCCTTTTGTAATAAGCCTTTTGAAACATAGAATTAGAGACTCTCACTTTCAAAATTTGGTAGCAAAGTTGCACCAAATAACTGAATGATGCAAACCATTAACCACGATTCAGAACCATAACTTAGAAATAAAAGAAAGCTTCTAGCACGTTTGGATTTTTACCGTTGACGAAAAACAAAGAACTCACCACTTGATGAGATAATGCGATAGAACCTTCCATTTTGCAGCAATCCAAATTAGTCCCAAACCCCACAAGAGAAAATAGGAATCAAGTCAGCCACATAAAATGCCAAGAGTTGCTAAAAAGTTCAAGAAAAATGCAAAACACATCAGAATGGAACTCCAGACGCACATTAAGGGAGCCATCATTGATAAAATCATAAGGAATAAAAGAATTGTACCCAAAAGGATCATAAGGCTCGGTTTTATTTAGGATTTACTCGTTTTTTAAATATATTAGATTAATTTACATGTATTCTTTTTTCACTCATGCTTCTTTAAAATTACTTATAGTTTATCAAACACAACCAAAAAAAAAACCAAGATCTATCTCTAAAGAAACCAATCCATATATATACTATCAAATATAAGCTTTTCAAAAGTAAGAAAATCATACCTAAAGACTGATTGCAATGTTCAATTGGTATTGTCTTAGGGGCTATCGACGCAATTGCTTTCCAAAATTATTGGCGGAATACCCGTTCTGTTCTTGGTTCCTTTAACATCCCGCAGTGGCGCTAATATCTTCTTTTCGTAGTTGGGTTCTTCATCAAGTCTGGTTAGGAGCTTTTAAACAATTCGTTTGCTGCTATTAAAATCTCTCGTCTATGTCGTCAAAGCTATCTCTCGGTCAAGTTTGCTCAACATCATATCTCTCCATTGGAGCAATCATCTGCCGCATCAAAAATGGTGGCTAACAAATTAGGGTTTCGTCTATTTTCGCTGCAAATTTGATAAGGTTGCATTCAAATTTGAAGATTGAGTTATTGGAAATTATCTTTAATTAAGGGGTTAGTTTAACAAACCTTATCAAATCCTGGAAGGAGAGAGATAGCTGAAGATAATTTCCTTTAAAACATGAGCTTTCAAATGAAAATATGATCCTCTTCCATTAAATGAACATGATAATTCACGGTTTAACAATTACATACGTAAAAATTGGGCAGTCGATCCCACTGGAGTTTTTCAAATAATAACATGATTTTATCCAATGAAAGTGACAGTCTGATACACGACAAATCAATAGACCGATAATAATTTAAGTTAAAAAATCAGAAATGTAAATTTGGAAAACATGCAGAAGATAGTTTCATACGCTATTTGAAATACTTCAGTTTGAATTGTAGATCTATTACGTAATTATGTCAATTAATTAATTAATTAAGATAAATGTAGTTTTCTACGCTAATTAAGAGTTTCATTTCAGTGGATTATATATAAATATTTGAAACAAATATATATACCTCGAATAGAATTTGGAAAATCTTCTAAATGGAATTTAAATTAAATTGGTTCAATCTTATTCGGATGTGAAATTTGAAAATTTCTAAAATTATGGAGGTTGGCCGCGGTTCATGGTAAGATGGATGTTTGAAGAAATACAAAATCATTTTGGTTTCTGAGAATTACTCACAGAGTTTAGCAAGATGGTAGGAAGGAGAGCCGGCAGTCTTTGACAAAAAAGAATATCGTCAGGAGTTGAAGGAAGGAATAATCCTCGTTAGTCAAGGAGATTATTTCTTCAATGGAGTTTCTAATCCCCGGTGAACTTGTCCATGATAAGTTGGGAATCGAGATCCAATGCTTCCTACGAAGCATGTGTATAATTCATTTTAAATAATCAATCAACAGAGATGATTATTTGTTTGTCGATATAAGTGGTATATATCCAATGATAATTTCGCCGGCAACTAATGATTACATTAAGTTCGGGTGATGTTTTCTACCATCAGCGTAAATTAAATCGCCGGAGTTATTTCAATGGTTATTTGGATGAGTTAAATCTCGAATAATCGGTGAAAAAGTAAAAGTAAAACTGATGATATGTTAAAATATCATAAATGTTTTGCTATGCAAGATTACAATTATGAGGTGGTGTAGTAAAAGATTAGTAAAAAATAATAAGTCAATAAAATATTGACACATGGACTACATAAGTTTCTGTACGAATGAAAAATGGACACGTGTTTTTGTAAATTATTAATGATCTAATTGTGTGACATGTGTCTTGTGAAAAAAATTCTCTTAATATATAATAAGATTGGACGAATTCTGTGTGAAAGAGAGAGAATGAGAAGGCAAGTCATTTCAACACATTGGAATCCATTGAACGTGGCCAGTCGAGAGAGGAGTGGAAGGAGAAGAAGAAAGAGAAGAAGAGAGAAGAAAGATGGCATTCTGTTGACCATGGCCCATCGAAGGAGAATGAGAAGGAGATCAAGAGAGAAGAAGGACGACGGCTGCTCTGAAGTGACGGCTGAAGAAGGAGGATAGAGGAAGGGTTTTCCATTTTGGGCCGTCTTCCGCCCGTATACAAATCGCATCCGGCTTCATTAGTCTCTCCCCTCTCCTTATTCCTGCTTCCTCTCCAAACTCCATTTTTTTTTTTATGTCAAGTCATTGATCAGCGTACAAATCCAAGATGACTCTAGACTTCCACACCAACAACAACGTCCTTGGCAAGGTGGCCATCATCGCTACATAACCATCTTCATTTTTCCATGTCTTTCCTTTTGCTTTAGTATATCTACGGGGGACATGGAAGCAGAACTGCAGGTATTTTATTTTTGTACATATTAATGGTGCCTTTCTTTGAGATTGTTGGATCTCCACATTAATTTTCATCTCTCGTTTTTTTGACGTAATCATTTTTAGGTTTCACGGTGAGGATGTTTTTCACCAATTTATATTTGGTTGTGTTGTTAAACGTATAGTAGTAAAGATCACACAACCATGAGGTTGTCTCGCATGCAGTGACGTTTGAAGATTAAGATGATCAAAAATTTCCTTTGTGCAAACA